CACGCAGACTGAATCTACCTTCTCAGCAAGCCGTGCATGAATACGGCAAGAAGGTATTTCTTAAAATTGATGACTAACTTAAACTTAATGCAAAGAGTGTTTTTACAAAAACTCTTGTTTTACAAATGTAAAGAATACCATACACAAGAATACTCCATGTATACATTTTTCTTATTTTCTATTTTTTCTAGCGCAACTGGGTCCTTGGTCCGGACAACTGCTATCATTTCAATGCGGCTGAAGAAACAATCGCCGCCACCGCTGGAACGCTGCCTTCATCCGAACTGGCTGGCCAAATCATCGAATATGCTAGACATCTTGAGATGATTGTGTAGATAGTTAGAATTAATGTATACTTATGCCGTAATTATTTTTTTTTCGTATTCATTGTGGTTTTATTTTACTACCTAAGTATTACCTGCAGCTTCACTGGCGTATAATTTTCACTTGTTTCTCCACCCTAAGAAATATAGAAATAAAAAGTAACTTCTTACTCTCCAGATTTGTTATACATCCCTTTACAATAGAGACAGAAACCGTCTGTCAATTGGCAGTTCAATTTTTTCAAAGCAAACTTAAAATTCACGTGGTTATTCGTCTAAGTTAAAACAGTACCCTTAGTATGAGTTTTGACAGCAAACGTTACGTCCTTTCGAAACGTTGATTTTCATTCATAAATTAGCAGCGCCCCTAGCGGAAACGAAAAGAAACTAAATTTGGCAGTACAAGTTGCACCAGCGTAAAATTTCTCGTAATCTTAAAAAGTTTTCGAGACATTTTGACGATTCTCGCCAAATTGGCAGTACGAGTTACAATTTTGACAATTTTATGAAAGTAAAGCGATTCGTTCTCTCTCAAAGTTTACGTTTTACAACTCACCTAGTGGAACGTAGCGAATTGTTTTCGTGCGATTTTTAATTTTAATATTAAATGGCTGCGAGGAGTTATTTTGCCTGGAGGATGGTAGCAGAAGCTGCTGAAAATGATCGCCACGAAGAAGAGCGTCGAAACCTTCATTTGCGGCGAAAATTATTAAGTCCTCTCGAAATCTCGGACACCCACTTTATTCAGCGATACCGACTGATTAAAGAGGCCTAAAAGTTTCTATGATTTAAGAAATTATCAAAGAGTCTCATTAGAAACTAAGGTAAGTCAATTATATCATCTACATAAATAAAAAGGTAGTTAATGGCAATCGCAACAATGATTCATTAAAGACATTTTTAATTGGTTTTAGGTACTCTGCGCATTATTATTTTATGCCAACGGTGATCGATTACCAATATAATTTATGCTACATACTTACTAAGTTCAAGCTTCCATGACAGAGGAAAGCTACTTAGAGAAAAAATGGTCCAACTAATACCACTAAAGTGACAATGTTACAATTTATTTTATATGTTTCATTCGATTATTTTTAAAAGCGTATTATTCCTCAGCAAGTTTCGTAGTTTGTGTTTTGTTTCCACAGGTCACGAAGCTTTCGCCAGGGTGGAGTCTATTCCGCAAGAAGACGGTTCCCTTTTAACTTTGGGCCAATTAATGCGTGATCGCGTAGCCAGTATAGTGCATATTGTCCGTTAATTTTATTTATTAATATACACATAAATAAAAACGTTTGTTTTATTTCCTACATATTTATTGTATAAGTATTACATTCGTTAGCCTATTTCGCTTCTAAGAGAAATATAATCAGCAACACTCTAAAAATAAAGCTGTAATAAACAGGTTCCAGTGTCTTATAATTTAGTAACTTAAAATCTAGTGTTAGTATGATAAAATGGTTAGTATAATTAATTAACAATTGACTACAACATTATGAAATAATAAATGTTATTTATTACTATAATAGAGGATAATAATAAAGGATAATAATAAAGACAGTAACACATTTTTAAAGATAATGAAAAACCAAAGAATGAAACAAAACAAAATTTTTTAGATAAAAAACTTAACAAATAAATTATTTTTGGCTTAAATTCTTATAAAAAGAAATAAATAATAAACGGTAGGTGATTAATTAACAATTGACACATTTTTAAATAATAAAATGTTGAGTCCTAATTTTATTCCTATATAACCATTGCTGTCTCTATCAACTTCAAATAATTAAATACAATTTGCACATGCAAGAATAATTAGAATAACCAAGTAGTACCTAATACATCTATTTACCTTATCTACCATGCAATATCTTTAATTAGTTACTATTTAGTTAATAATAAATTACAGCTAAGTAATATATATAAATATATATATAAAATAATTACCTAAATTATAATTGAGAAAATATCTATTAATAATAAATAAATAAATATAAAAATATTAATAATAAACAAAATTAATATAAATCGACTCATAAATAATATCTACTTCAATATCTAAATATAAGATTTACTCCTTAATTTCAATATTATGATTTTAAACAAAAAGCGCTTCATCCTCTCCTCTAAAAACTAACTTGCTGTGCTCGACACGGTCCATAATTGTTTCTCTGTAATTTACCTACCAGCCTTGTATACATTATGGAATGCAATAAAGTATTGAGTATTGAGATTGAATGTAATGAGGAAATAATAGACAAAAACAAAGACTGTAACAAATTTGCCAAAGAATAAACAAAACAAAATTTTGATGATAAAAAACCCAACAAATAAATTATTTTTTACTTAAAATATAGTGTTAGTAAGAAAAAAATAAATGGCAATTAATTAATTAACAATTGACAAATTTTTAAATAATAAAATGTTAAGTTCTAATTTTATTTCTAAGTATAATAGATTACCATTGCTGTCTCTATCAACATCAAATAATTAAATACAATCTGCATATGCAAGAATGTGATGTGGATACAATACACAAAAACAAAGAAACTAACATATTTGCCAAAGAATGAAACAAAACAAAATTTTGATGATAAAAACCCAACAAATAAATTATTTTTGACTTAACATCTAGTGTTAGTATGGAAAAATAAATGGTAAGTAATTAATAAACAGTTGACAATTTTTTAAATAATAAAATGTTACTATGTACTCTATAACAGATTACCATTGCTTTCTCTATTAACATCAATTAATTAATTAAATACAATCTGCACATGCAAGAATGTGATGAGGATATGATAGACAAAAACAAAGACAGCGACACAATTCCTAAATGATACTTATATATACAAATTAATAAATAATTTTGTTAAGTTGTTTTATTGTTGTGAATGTCCATCTGATTGGTTGGTAACTGGGCAGGTGTGGGTGACCGAGGCTGCAATATTGGTGGTGGCACTTCCAACTCTACAAAGTTGGCAGCCAGTGCTGAATCATTCTGTAAATAAAGGAAATTTCTTATAAATATAGCCTTAGGCACTTTAGAGCATCTAGTCAGAGTATTTGTAATATAGCCCAAATTATAAGAAACAACAAAATTAGTAAAAAGATTTTGAAATTGTTTTGACTTAATCATGCCATAACTATAAAATTCTAGCAAAATGTTATGTATGTGGTGTGTATATAATGTTAAAGTTTAAAGTTTGTAATGTCATATTTATGTATTAATGTACATATTATTATGCAGTATTTATCTATGTAATATGACTTTAAATATTCATTAAGCAAAGCTAAAGCGAATGTGTGCATTTCACAATTGAGTAATTTAATTACATATAAGCTTATTATGAGTAACACAAACATTACAAAAGCAATATTACCTGAGGCACAGGAACTATTTCATTTATTGAGACCATGCCTGTAGCAGCCTCGGGCCCCATCAGGCTGAGGACTCACTGCTCCAGGTTGGTGATGCAAACTTTTAAAGCTGGACCACCACCAGTTAATATTTGTTTTTTAGGTCACTCCACCCACACCTATTACTTGCAAAGAAAACATGCTTATTAACTATTAAAATACAATGGCAAATGTAAAGCAAGTAAATTATTAATCACAGATAACTCTTGTATAAGTAGCATTTAACATCGAAATTGTCTCGATTGAATGGATTAACTAAATGCTGGCTTTATGGGAAGCCTTTATAATAATATAATTTTGATTATTGTTGTACCTCTTTCCATTTGTCCACCGGTTTCGAACTTTCGGTGGGATCAATGTTAAGCACCTTAGCGAGCTCCTCCCACTTGGAGACGCCGCTAAGCCTGCCGTGAGGACCACCAGCAAGCTTTTTAAGGTCTCCATTTCTAAAATATATGTAAAATACACGAAAAATTAGAACTTGATGTTGAGAATTAAAACTAGTATTAAGAAACATTCAATAACTTAAAAGATATGAATTAATACTTGCTTACCTTTCCATAAACTCCACCATCACTTAATATTGCGAGTAACTTGTCTTCGTACACATTTTTTAATGTTTTTTATTAAAAATAGTACTAGTAATCGTCTTTTATCAAACTTGCTTGAAATGGCGGGACAATTACTTTTTCTTAGCTGTCAAAAGACCGAATGTATATCTATTTCACTCTTTTAGTCGAGAGTAAGAGAGAAAGACATATCAGTGTGAACATCGTACATTCGTTCGTAGTCTATGCTTCTCGTAATACGTTTTCGAGAGCTCGTTCTGTCCAAATTAGACACTCGTACTACCAACTTCTCGAAATCGCAATCTTTTTACGTCAGCTCGAAAACTTTCAACGTCTTGTCGCTGGGGAAACTCATACTAAGGGTACAGGTCTGCAAACGTTGAAGTCTACCTTTGCAGCACGCATTTTTTTGTTTGGTACACGGCAAACGATAAGATGGTAAGCAATCAACTCCGCTCAAGGACACCCGAGAGTTACGAGAGCGTTACTGATATTTTGGGGATTGGAGTTTTAGATTGGGGGAAGGGAAAGATTGGGCCTCCAGCAACCGCACTTATACAGCGAAACAACAGCTTTCGGGTCGTGCCGAAACATGGCTCTCTCACACTTATGACTAAATAACACTGGTTTCGAATTTCTATTTATTTTTGGACGTGAATGAATAAAATAAAAATTTCAAGTACTTTGTCTTTTATTCACCAACAAACAATATTTTTTTCATCTTTGTTCTTCTGGTCTATTCATTTTTAGTTAGTAGTTTGTTCCTCTTGTGTTAATGATCCCAAATTATTGTTCTTCAACAGTTTTGTAAAATGCTCGAGAGCGAGTTTAAAATTCCAATCATTCTTCTCTAAACACCTGAAAATATTAGAAGTTTTCATAGTTACTAGTATTAAGAATAATTAGTTGATATATTGTGAACATTTAAATTCAATACCTTTCACTAATTTTTTTATCCATTGTTGTAAACTTCATAAAGATTTGTAGATATTTATCCCGAAGATCTTCATCAGTTGTTGATTCTATTTTTAGATTAATTTGCTTATTTGGGACCTGTAAAATATCACAACAGATTTCACTAACATTTCATGAATAGGCATCTTTAAGACTCCATATTTTTTTTAATATGGCAAGTTTTCCATCGATTCAACGACGCCGCTGTCAAACATTGCGTTTTACGAGAAGTAGTATCCAGTGAACTAAATTTATTAATAATTCTTATTTTCGTACAAAATGAAGAAACATCAACCAAGGCAAAAGACTTTAAATGATCCAGTGATTGTTTCACGTGTGAAAAATTATCTCGCCGAGAATGTCGATAAGACTTTCGTTGATGTAAGCCAAATGGCGCGTTCATTGAAAGAGCGCTACCGCGAGTACAACAACAGAAGCGACAGCGCTTTCTGTCAGATGGTTGAAAGTGCTTATAAAGTCGTATTGCAGAGTTACGGACTTGACGGTGCGTCTACATCGGATGGGTCTGAAGAAGAATCGGATTTAGAGCTCCTAGACGAAAACAACAGTGCGTTGAACGACCGCCTGCTCGCCATGTACAAAATGCAGGATAAAAAACGGCCAACAAATAACAGCCGCAACACAGACAAGTCGGGCGAGCCAATAGATATTTTAAGCAGCGATGAAGATGGCAATGGCACAGCGCCGAAACTACCGAAAATCAATGACCAAATCACCATAACCCCCCACATACCTAACAGGAACGCTAATAGCACGGCGACTGAGAACGCACATAAGGTTCAACAGAAGGAACATGCAAATGATAAAAAGAGGAAAGTTGATTCTAGTAAAAATGGTCCACCAAAGAAAAAGGTTGATATTGGAGATGTCAAAACTGTAAAGGTTAGTTTTGAGGACATAGGTGGGATTTCTGAAATTATCACACAAATCTGTGATTTAATATTACATATGAAACATCCAGAGGTCTATGCCCAATTAGGTATTAAGGCTCCGAGAGGTGCATTGTTACACGGACCACCAGGGACTGGCAAGACTTTGCTAGCACATGCTATTGCAGGTAAACTTCAATTGCCCATGGTTGCCATTACTGGCACTCAACTAGTGGGTGGAATGTCTGGGGAATCTGAAGAGAGAATTAGAGAGCTATTTGACAGAGCAGTGTCTGTTGCTCCGAGTGTTTTGTTTATTGATGAGATTGATGCAGTTTGTGGTAATAGGATCCATGCACAGAAAGATATGGAAAAGAGGATGGTTGCTCAGTTATTGGCTTCCCTAGATACATTGACTGATACAAATGCGTCCGTTCTTATACTTGCTGCTACAAACAATCCAGATGCCTTAGATCCTGCTCTTAGAAGAGCTGGTCGCCTTGAACAGGAAATCACATTAGGTATACCGTCATTACAAGCTAGGAAAGAGATTATTTCTATTCTTTGTAAGAATATTACTCTAGGTGAGGATGTGGATATGAATGTCTTGGCTCAAATAACACCTGGATTCGTTGGTGCTGATTTGCAAGCACTTGTAAATAAGGCCAGCACTTATGCTGTAAAGAGGATATTTAAAGAAATTCAAGAATCTAAAGTTAAAAAAGAAGTAGAACCTGCTGTGCAGGTACCTCCTGCTAATGATGATGTAGATGTTATACCTAATGGAGACAAAGAGACTGAAGCCAGTTCAGCAAGTGCTGGTGATGCACCTGAAAGTGTTCCTGAGTCTTCAACATTACCAATAGTTCCTGAAGCACCTGAAGAAATAGTTGAACCAGTTGCTAGCACCGAACTCGAAAATCATGTCACTGAACCTGTTAAGAAAGTGGACCCTATTGATGAGGTGTTAAGTCTGCTTGAGGTCATGCCATACACTCGTGAAGAACTAAGTGGTCTTGCAATCAGACATGAAGACTTTGTTAAAGCCCTTAAGACTACCAAACCATGTGCTGTTAGAGAAGGTATTGTGACTGTACCCGATGTAACTTGGGATGATGTTGGTTCTCTAAATCAAGTACGTAAAGAACTGCAGTTGGCAGTTCTGGCTCCAGTGAAATATCCTGATCAGCTAGCTAAACTTGGATTGTCAGCCCCCAGTGGTATATTACTCTGCGGACCACCTGGTTGTGGTAAAACGCTACTAGCAAAAGCTGTTGCAAATGAAGCGGGTGTCAACTTTATTTCAGTTAAGGGCCCTGAATTATTGAACATGTATGTGGGTGAGAGTGAGCGAGCTGTTCGTACATGCTTTAGGCGCGCACGAAATTCAGCACCTTGTGTCATATTTTTCGACGAATTTGATTCACTGTGTCCGCGTCGTACGTCACAAGATAACAATGGCGCCGCTCGGGTTGTAAACCAGTTGCTAACTGAAATGGACGGTATAGAAAGCCGTGAAGGAGTTTTCGTGCTCGCAGCTTCAAATCGACCGGATATCATTGACCCAGCAGTGCTGAGACCGGGCCGTTTAGACCGTGTCATGTATGTTGGAATGCCAGCCAGTGAAGATCGTTATGATATCTTGCAAAAGCTCACTAAGAATGGCACGAAGCCACAACTGGGACCTGACGTAGATTTAAAAGTTATTGCAAGTGTTACGGATAGATATACAGGCGCTGATCTAGCGGGTTTGGTAAGAGCCGCTGCTACGAATGCACTGACGAACCATATTGCCAGCGGTAGCCTCGAAGGTGACATTTTTGTTACTTTCGAAGACTTTAGAACTGCACTCGCGAAATGCAAGCCGTCAGTGTCTGCAAAAGAACAGCTGCATTATGAGAAACTGAGTTTAAAGTACGCATCTGGAGCTGATGACAGAGATATGGAAGTGGAAACGGAACCGCTAAATGAAGAATCTATGGACACCGTATGAGAATCAATTCCATGGGTACAGACCACATGTTATGTCTGAATATCGCGACTCTTATTTTAAGTGTATTTCATACCATATAGTGCCAAGTTGTTCCTTTTAAAGCAATTTTTTTGTTTTCTTTTAAGTCCATAACATGCACTTGAGAACAATAATTAATGGAGTGGACAAAACAAAATACCAATGTTTGTTAATTTTTGTGAATAAAATGATTAGATATACAGGTAGATATGCCCATAAAACATTTATATGCAGCACATTGTAAGTTCAAGGACATGATTAAAGAATTATTTTTACTATAACTGTTTCATTGCCCACACACAAGCACATAGAATCAGGAAAAGTAATTGTTATTTGAAAAGAATAAATGTACCTACTTATCAGTTGATGTAATGAACTGTATAATACAGCTTTCCTTGACTTAATGCTCGGCATCAACTGATAAGTATATTTTTTGAACTTCATACACGAACACCTTCATAATTTCCTAGTAATATTTTATAAATTATGGCACATTTTGCTTTCATAAAAACCCGCATGTCTAACAACAAAACAACTACTCGCTAATGTTTTGATAATATGTATCGCGCCGCACCGGAGACGATGGGTGAAGGTTTTTCAAATGAGATTTCTACTCAATATCCTGATTTTAATTCTCAGAAATGGTATTTAGAAAATTCAGTACAAGTAGGTGCTTAGTATGATTGTCTTTATTTCGGTACTTAGGGTTGGAACTATTGTTTTTATTCTTTGAGAGGGAAAATCATCAAATTACTTTTCTACCAAGGGTGCGGCGAGAGTGAGTGCAAAACTCAATGACTAAAAACCATCTCGTTCTTTCTCCTGATCCATTATTGTACCCACAACCCCATGACCATACTTATCATAGGCAATACTGATGTTGACATTTTATCTTTAATATAGCACAAAATTAACAAAAAACACCGTAATACTGAAGTCCGGCGCGTCCCAGGGACATACTTTCTTGAACCCCGCAGCAAAATAAATCATAAGATATTATTTGAGGAGAAGAAAAACCGAAATAGTTTCCACTTCCCTCGATAAATTTTATGCAGTGTGTAATACTTACTTATATTTATCTATTCATTCATAGGAAAATATAAATAAAAAAAACTCACAGTACTACTGACTCGGAACGCGGACCTGGCAGATGCAGCGGTTGGTTCGTCCCAGTAGACCATTTCATTGTGTATCTTATACTCGTCGCCGTCTTCAGAATGTAGGACTACAGTTCTTGTGAACGCTAGAAGGTGCTCGTCGTCATCTTCTGTTTCTGCTATCAATTTCAACATGCCACTGACTCGAAGGATTGTCGTTGATGGCTGTGTAAACAAAACATGATAGAGGTTTTTTATTTATGGTTTAGTAGGAGTACTATTTTAAATTTAATAGCTGTCTTGTTGAGGGAATACGACTAGCAAGAGTGTTTAGGGTTTAATTCCCCAGTCGAGCCAAGTACAATTTTCATATTTAGTTGCACTCTTCACCCTAAGCAAGGACTGTTTGAGTTAGGCAATAGATCAGTAGTGCAATTTTAATTGCCTACTGATAAAAATTTTCTTTGCCCTTGTCTAATTTAATGCTTTACTATGAATTTTCGAAATGCCAGAATTTAGAGGTGCCTGGCGGTTCACTCATCGAGACTCAAAAGTAACAGCATAAAATCTTTGTGCAAAAACAGAGAGAGAAACTTACAAATACAATTTCACATTTTATAAAACTAATTTGATGTATGTGTGGCGACACTCATAGAAGATCGACGATTAAACTCTGCTGATTAGAGGTCCAAGGATCCAAGTAGCCCGCCAGGCATGATTACTTCGTCTGGTTGGAGCATACTCCCTTTCAGATTTTAAGGAATTTTACTATCATTTTGTTTTGAAGGCGGAAAATCTTTAAATGATTTCTCATACATCCTATGCTGGGCATCTGCCCTAGTGGGCTGGACATCGGCTCCTAATTACACAAATCTATGGGGATTTGATGGCTCTTAGAGGTGCGCGTGGTCCGGGACGCACTTAATAAAAAAAACTTGCTAATCTTATTATGCGACTTACCGTATGAGACATAACATCGACACTGAATGAATGAGGGTCATGTTCAATCTTCGGCCATCTATTCACAAGTTTAGTGATGGCCATGGCACCAGTCACCGAGTCAATCTCACCTTCATCGAGAAATCGAGCGTAGAGGAACAGATTTCGAAATAACCTGTATGTTTGACTGTAGCCTGAAAGAATAGAAACACGTCAAAATACTTAAAATGTTGTTTCTTAAATTTGTTTGACCATTAACGGTTAACTGCATGACTTTAATCTAAATTCATAAAAATGACTAGCAAACGTTTAATCCTGGGACAAGGCAACGCGCACGCTGCTCATGAATCAGATTTCCGTTGTGACTCCTAACTAGTTGAGCTTAAGAAAAGCTCAACTAGTTAATTTAGATTACATTTGTACTCGGTATCTATACTAATATTATAAAGCTAAAAAGTTTTTTTGAACGCGCTAACTTCCGGAACTACTAATTTTTATAAGTCCATTTATTGAGGAAGGCTATGGGCTATTAAACATCAAGGTACGATCTGTAGGAGCCTAGCAGCGGGTGAAAGCGCGCAAGAGTAAACACACAATAATACTTACGCAACTTATAACAGTAGGTGATAGTTAGAGAAGCATCATCTTCATACATGCCTTGTATTAAGGACCTATGTTCAGGTCCCGCGTCTAACAAAGGGAAGTATATTTCCAGAAACTTCTCTGTAACCGCCTTAGCCTCGTCCGGACAGTAGTTCCTTTTAAATTGTGGCATTTCACCGCTACGTTGTATTGGTACGCCGTCCTAGAAAATGTTATAGAGATATGTACCATAATGTGATGACAATTATGTATGATTTTGTTTGATACCCAAGCTATTAAATACTACTACTTCAGCTATTAAATAGAAAAGCATGGGAGAGCCAAGCATCGGCACGAATGGGCCGCCTCGACTAAAGTGATACCGAGACACATAGAAGGCCCAATCCTTCCCCTCCCTTTTCCCTCTTCAATCCCTAAATCCTCTGGGCGGCGGGGCGGGTGACCATGGGCAACTCTGATTGCTTACCAGCAATCCGTCTGCTCGTTTGCAGACTTATAACACAAAAAAATGTAGGTTTGTTATGTTTTATTTTAGATTGTAACTTAACATTACATGCAGCATTATTATTATTTAGTTTTTTTTTTATATTTATTGTGTTGTATTTTTTTCTTTATTGCAGATATCTTTGGCGCCTTCTTGTGCCAAATAAGTTATTTTTCTTTCTTTCTAATTGTCCCTATTATGCTAATTGGAATTTATGTAACTTATATATTTATATAAACTTACAATTTCAGTTATAGCTGGGAACAGTAGGCGGAGTACTTTGATATAGTGTTCTGGGTCGATATAGTCTAGACATAAAGGGTTCCCCTCCAAATGTATAGATTTAAGAGGCAAAGATCTACAATTGATTAGCGATATAATCTTATCCAGATAATTGTGGGATAAGTTCAAATGTTTTAAGTTTGGCGTCACGTTTTGAAGATCAAAGCCAGATATGTCCCTGGAAGAGAATTATTATTAGGTTTGTTGTAGGTAAATAAAATTCGTAAGTAATTTTGTGTTGGCGATTTCAAATTTATAATCAGAAATTATAAGTCCAAGTTTCCTCACGATGTTTACCGTCACCGTAAGTCAGTGGTCTCTAAATAATCATAGAAAGTACTTTTTTTTTAATCTTTATTTTATTCAAATAGAAAGTACTTATAACTCGGAAAAAGTCACATTGGTACTTGCCAGGTTTCGAACTCACACCCTCATGCATGATAAGCAAGCGCCTAAACCTCCAGGCCACCACGACATTAATCTTAATAATTACCTATTCTTCACATAAATTAAGCAAAAACTAACGATGTCATTATCCTTAATGCAATGTTAATAGCTGACTAACAAATATAAATTCTGATTTTTGATGAAGTTAGGGCGGGCCTCTGACAATGAAATCAAATACTTACTTAAGTCTATTATGTGAGATATCCAACGCAGTCAGTTTACTCCATTCGATGACAGTGTCTACTTGAACGAACTCTTTCTGGTTACTCAGCCGGTTTAGAGGGAAGTAAAGGAAATGGCTTATATCTGGAAGAAATAGGTAATGTAAAATAGTTAGTTAGTTAGTTGAACATTTTGGAGCATACGGTGAACGGTCCTCAGGGAAGCGATCGGAGGCGGCGACCTCGCGCGCCCGACCAGAACCAGACCAGAGCGTTTGAGGCGCGTAACAGCCGGGGTTGCGGGGTAAGCGCAATGAGGCACGCGACCTCGGCCTAGAGCAGGAGTAGGAACAGGGGGTTTTTAGTCAGTAAGAGTCTGACACTCCCTCCCGCCCGTCCCTGGGCGGGAGAAGTCATTTGATGACTTTCCCCTCACAAAAAAAGTTGAACATTTTGCCGGGAACAAAGTACATTGTAATTAAACTGGCGGTTTTTGGATTGGGCCTCCGTCCGGTAACTTCACCCACACTGCGAAACACAACGCTGTGTTGTTTTACGCTGGTTTTCTGTGAGGCCGTGGTATCACTACGGTCGAGCCGACCCATTTGTGCCGAAGCTTGGTTCTCCTACACTTTACAAAAATTATTTACAGTACTCACCATCTTGCAAGGTAAACGCGCTAAGATTAAGTTTCTTATCCATGTGTCCCATAGCCATCCGTTTCCTCAAAATTAACCTCGGTATAAAATCGATCAAGTTCAGGGTTAAATCAGTGACAGATATGGTGACAGTCAATTCGACCCCATCTTTGTGTATGTAGAAACCGGTCTTGTGAAGGATTATGAGAGCCGAACGCGTTCGTAGGGTTAAGAACTTGCATTCGTGTTGGTAGAACTGTAATAGAAGGATTGCTCTTATTAAGAATGAGATTGTCAATTAATTGATCATCATTATCATCCAATAAGGGCCCGGTGCTAAGCAAATGCCTCTTCTCACATCACAGCGCTTGCTCAAGGCAGATTGGCGATTTTAAACTAACAACAAAATTAGAAATCATATTTCCACGTTTATTTACTTACGATGTACATTTCTACCGTTTGTGAGTATTGTCAAAATTAATTTAGAAAGTACATTATATATAGGTGACTGGTATTAGTGACCGATATTTATTGACGTAGGTATTAATAATAAAAAACAACTTTCCCAAAGAAACTTTTTTGTTTAATCATTAGTTTTATTTTTATGACTATAACAAAATGGCGGCGTCGCCACTAAAAGCTGATCGGGCGACGCACGGCGGGCGAGCATAATAATTTTGTATGTTAATTTGTTGCGCCATGTTAGGTTGTGACGTCACCTATATTATATTTAGTGTCGATCTTATATTAAAGTACAAATTATTACCTCTACAAAGCACGGTATAAGGCTATATTCTTTCACACAGTCTAGTACAGCATCCAATACTTGCTCTTTAGTCCACGATGAGGGATAACCTTTGATCTGCAATAAAGGTGTATTTTTTTACAAAACTAATATTATGTCCTTACGTCTACTCGAGACTCATCATAATCAGCCTATGAGTGCTGAGCTTGAGAGAGCAAAGACCTCTCCTCACACAGAGGACGTTTAAGCATGAGTTACCACGCGTGCTCAAGGCGGATTAGCGATTTAAAAACTTAATTGCAGTTCAGTATCGATAATCGTTACCGCTTTAGAAATATACGGGAACTCATTTGTTCACTACGTGGATATCTGCAACTACGTGATCTTCAGAAATGTCCATACATTTGTTTTGTGTGTTATGTGAAAGAACACGGAGGTTTGAATATTAATCCACAGCCTTGCTCAAGGCGGATTAGCGATATTGAAAATACTTATCAGAAATTATAAGTCCTAGTTTCCTAACCATGTTTATCGTCACCGTAGCTATGACAGTGGTGTTTTATTAATCTTAGAAAATTATCGCTATTTATACAGCAAAGTATGACAAGGAGCTGTCTTGATGAAGGTCGTCTTCTAAATACGATCAGGGGGGATTCTCAAAGAATTTAAACGATTTTAATTTAAGTAACAATTGTTTTTATTACTGTTGATGGTAGAACATTTTTAACCGATTTAAAGAAGGATTAAGTTTTCGTCCTTCAGATTTTTCCGAATGGCCTAGAGGATCCCGACAGTCATATACCAAGCCCTAAGGCAGTTGCCGTTGCAGTTTTGTATGTATTGATCAATCAGGCACTACAAATTAAGTATTATACTTAATTTGTAGTGCCATGCGATTATGACATGCGATGGAATTGAAATTATGAAAATAATACTTAAAACATTACCGAAATTTGAATGAAGGCGTTATCTTTTTCGTACATTTTCTCCATTTTCTCTTGTTCTATCAACATGGCAGTCTGAAAACAAAAATAGGATTTAGTTATACTTTGTTTTATGTCGACAAAAGAGCTGACGAGCCGTTTGATGGTCAGCAATCAGCGGCGCCAAAGGCCAATAAGTGCGTTGCGGGCCTTTTTGTGAGTTTGAGTATTTGGGATTTTGGGATTGGAGGCGACTATATAAGCCTCCGATAGAGTCACTCAGAGACTCGTGATGCCTTTATGCAATTGCAAATGGAACAGCAGAGTATTAAGCATACTCCCAATGGTAACTTGGAGTAAGAATCGAGTGTAAAAGGAAATATTTATTTATTTAAATAGGTTAGCCAACAATTATTACACTTTTTCATTACTGTTAATAAAAGATATAACACAAGAAATAAGCACGCTTAGCAGGGAGTTTCACCCTCATATCACATAACCAGCTTATCAATTGTACTGAAGTGTATTAGAGTAATGAAGGGTATTATAAAAAAAAAATTGAAAGACAAAGATCACATCTTATACAGCTAGCTCAATTGTTTTAAGTAATAATAAGTTAAAACCTAATTACATTTATAAGAAAGAGTTAACTTAATGTAGATTATTATAATTATTTATTTATTTATTTGATGATACATAAAGATATTGATGATATATTAAGAGATGAACTTTGAAATGTTAAGTGCCTATGGAACACCTGAACTAGATTTATTTAAACCTGTGTTTCAGGGTATCTTATTACATAATTATTGTTCGATGGACGATATAAAGCTCATCATATGATATAAATATTATTGACTAAGCAAGGACAAGCATTCTTACATTCTAAAATTACTCTAATAGTACGTTACTTACTAAGCTATTAAGGTTTATTTTAACTTTTCTATGCCTGCTTAGTAAGGCTTTTTCTCACATGGAGAAAATAGGAGTATTAATAATTACGCTTATTCAAGGCGAATATTGACTATTTCAAACTTATAATAACTCCAAATTTCGTCACTAAGTTTTTCTTCTATAGTGAAGAAAGCTATCGCGACGAAATGACGTCAAAAATGTTTAAGCAAACTTAGAAATTAGGCACATTTAAACCAGGCAAATGCCAAATCGGTTCTTGCCAGCACTTCTTTTTCAAATACATTTTTAATTTTATAATAAATTACACTTACATATCATCACTAATGTTTGTACGACTTATAGTTTTTAGTTTTTTATACGTTTTAGCTCCCCGAATGATATGTGTTTTCAAGGTCCGAGAGAATAGACTGCTGAGCTATAGGTGCATGAGCATGTTTGTAAGATCGCATAGTCGCTTTCGACAAGGCGGAATAGTTGCCATAGTAAATAAAAAAGAACTGAGCTTACCTTGGAATTCCTAGCGGTAACACTTTTTCTGATCCCAAAATTCTTCTTCCAGGGCCAGAAAGGCAGGTACTTCATGACTGTTTCGTCAGTGCTCGCTATTATGTTCTTACGGAGATGCGTTGGAGTATATTTCTCAGGGTCATCGTTCGTTTCGTCCACGACTTCCCTGTAAGAAGTTCAAACTCACATTATTGAAATGGTTCGAACTGTAAGTGAATATGGATATTTTTGAATACTAACTATCGTTGGACATACCTATACCTATAAAGTTAATGAAAGTAACGACTGACTCATTTGAATAAACTCTTCGAGAAAAGCTCTACTAGTTTCAATTTACAATGGGGCTCTTATTCCAATGATAGCACGGCTGTCATGCAACGTGCTGCTGGTTCCATTCCCGAACGCAAGTTTTTTTTTTTTTTTTTGCCACGTTGCCCCACATTAGGATATTCTACTGTGTCGTGGGTGCGTTTACAAACATACAATTTCACACGCACATCACACCCAGACCCGGAACAACAATCTGTGGATCACACAAAGAGTTGTTCCGTGCGGGAATCGAACCCGCGACACGTTGCGCGGCAGCCAGTTGCCCAGCCACCGCGCCAACCATGCAGTCGAGTGTCAATACAGTACTTTGTGTCATACACAAATTATTGTTCCAGGTTGCTAGTTGCGGTGTGTAGGTGTGTAAAATTGTGTATGTTCGTAAATGGTCCCACGACACGTCCTGAGAAAACCCTAATGTGGGGCAACTATAAAAAAAATAAAAAAGAATAGAAAATGCAGTAATGGTTAATAATATTTGTCACATGACTAAGTTACAGTTAAATTTAAACGGTCTGCAGATCCGTCAGAATTACCAGACAAATTACATACAATCCTAAACTTTACCAAATATACTAAATATAATATAATTATTTTGCACACCATACCTGACAGGCTGATCCTTATTCAAGTTCAAATTGATAGTAAGCTTAGGTTTCTTCGGCTGAGACACAGGACCTAACCTGTGGAACGCACTCAGGCGCTTCTGATTGTTTTGATTCCCTTCTGACGATTCTGTCTCTTCAACGGGCTCTGGAAAATGAACCATGTTTTATTAATAACTAGCTACTCTCCCGCGGTTTCACCCGCTGCTCGGCTCCATTTAATCATACCGTGATGTTTTATAGCCTATAGCACTCAGGAACGTTGTAGCTATCTATCAGTGAAAGAATTTTGACAACCCGACCAGCAGTTCCAAAGATTACATCCTACATACAAACTTACAAGCTTACAAATTTTACCTCTTTATAATATTAGTATAGACTAGTCCTTGCTAGCGACTTTTAGCAGCTATGCCAGACCAACAAGTCAGAGTGATTGGCTTGCGGGGCAAGCGCAAAAAGGATGGTTTTAAGTTAGAAAGAGTTGGAAATACCCTCTAGCAGTACCGGGCGAGAGAAATCATTTTATGACTTTCTTGCATAAAAATAAGTTTTTGAAAGGCTTTTGTGAGCCTTTCAAAAACAATTTTTTTTGTACATCAATGTACAAAAAGAAACAACAATTTACACTAACAAACGTTGGCATTTATGACATAAGTAGGATAATATAGACATTTTCAATTTATTTTTCCGATTTTAACGCAGCCACAACATTTTATGAATATAGACATTATACCCTTTTATTATGGATTTATTTTAAAAAATACTAAACTTTTTATAAAAATTAACTTTTTTAATTATTAACTTTTTTGGGAAAATTATCCTATACCTTTTCTCGCCCTGCGTGGGGCGAGGGGAAGTGATTGACTCTTACTAAGAACCACTTCGTTCCTTTCACCTTGCTTCTAAAAACCTTCCCTGGATTTCTACAAATATTTCAATACCAGAGTTAGCCAAAACGGACCAGCCGTTCCCGAGTTTAAGGAAGACTAACGAACAGTAGGAGAATAGATATAGATAGTTAGTATTAAAAATTAAAAATAATTTAGTTTTGACCTTGGAAACTACCCAATTGTGACCTGCCTACTGCCGTCTTTATCATATGTAAAAAATAACTTACCTGGGTTAGCATTCTCGGAATAAATATCAGAAGGTGAATACGGTTGTTGTACACTATCGCTGTCAGTTTGATCAAACATTGGTGATGTGGCACGATTCGTCTCTTCTACCATGTTGGACTCTTGGTGATATGTTGGCGATGTTTCATTGGTCACTGTAAATGGTGCGAATGTTAGCCATATTGGCATGTTGGCATTGTACTAAGTTTTAAACTTTCGCGTTTCATATTAACAACATATAGTTACGCGACTTATGATCTTGCAAAGCACGTTGCGTCAGTACTACAACCATCGGTAGGAAAAAAATCTTCTTTTGTAAAGGACTCGCGAGACTTCATCCAGATTGTAAAGAGCCTGAAGTGGAACATGATAAATTCACGGTGAGCTTACCCACCAATGTGCCTATTAAGGAGTGTCTGAATGTTGTCAAAGATCTTTTTCAAGGCCAACATTACCTTCAAATCGATGGCGTAGCCATTGGAAGAAGCCTTATCTTTGCATGGAACACTGAAAAACAGGCACTGAGCATCGGCCCAAAGACCATCAGGCTTTAGAAAAGGTATGTCGATGACATTTTCAGCATTATCAAGGGAGGTGAACAAAAAGCACGTCAATATGTAAATCACCTAAAAAATGCGCTTCACCTATTCAGCTATGAGCTGGAGACGGGCAGGTCGTTGTTTTTTTGGGACATTAAAATAACCGCGAGATTAGATGGGTCCTTATCGCACTGTGTACACCGAAAGCCAACTCTCACTGATCGGTACCTACTTGCAAAGTCACTTCACCACCCACGACACTTACAATCCGTGATGAAATCAGTAAAGAACAGAGCATATAACCTTCGTGACCCTGAACGTTTGGAGCAAGAGCTAGACCATGTTCAGGAGGTACTTAAAAAGAACGGATATAGTATAGGAGATGGGCAACTATTGCGACCGCTGAAGAGGGCCAAACATGCAAACGTGAGCGGACAGCCTGCCTTCATGCCGTATATCAAGGGTGTGACAGACAAGATCGGATGTACTGCCGCTACAAAGCCCAGATGTTTATAAGATCAACTGCAGCTGCGGTAGTTCCTACATTGGGCAAACGAAGCGGACCATTGCTGAAAGGCTCAGGGAACATATCGCCGCAGCCAAGAACCGACAGAGCAACAAATCAGCTATAGCAGAACACCTGCTCCAGGCTGGTTCTAATCACTGAATAGAATTCCATTGACCGCAAATACTCTCCACTGATCGCCACTACCATACAAGATTTGTGCGTGAAGCGGTTGAAATAAAGAAATGCCGGAAAGGATGGTTTTCAATTGTCGTCGACGTGGAATCCAGTGATTCTGAAAAGACAACCTCGCTTTCCTTCAAAGTCGTTTAACACATCTGTGGATACGGTCAGACGGCCTAATATGGTGAAAATAAGGGGGTAGATGAAGATTCACCGCCCGAATACAGGGAGCTGTGACATCGCATCTTCAGTCTGCTTGTGACCACGACCTGTGCAACTAGGTCGAAACTTCAAGCCTACCAAGGTATTTAAATAATTATTTTCCGCGTTAATAACCGCGTAATTATATGTTGTAAGAATGAAACGCGAAAGGTTGAGTGGCTTGTGTCATAGTGTAAATCATAAAAAATTATATAAAACAATCAGCGATTTGGACAATATTATTATGAACAGGACCATATAAAGTTTACATTACCACTTTTTCTTTAAAAAAAGATTTTTATTAAATGTATTTACTTTTATCTTGATTTTTATAACGCCATCATAGTCAACAACATTGGGATTCAAAAGTCAAAAGTCAAAGTCAAATGCTTTATTTCAAATAGTTTGAAATAAATGATTTGACTCAAACATCAAAAAGTTCGTGTGTCAGTCTGTCAGTCAGTCCTCTAGGGAAGCTTTTTGCTCGTTCCAAAGTGTAAATTCCAATGGAGAAGAACGAGCAAGAAACTCCATTGTTACTCTTTTTCATTTTGTTACATCGTTCAGTCGGTTCTATAATGTAAGAAAAATGTGACCCTAATATTCAGTCAAAACAAAAATAATAATTAAAAAGAAGTCGGTTAATAAATAATACTTACTTGTCTGATTTTCCATATACTGCTCTTGCATTTGCTTCACGATAAAAGTTCTCGGTATTCCTGCGAAGAAGTATTTCAAATCAAATACAATACAAATATTCCTACCCAACCCCATTTAGTAGTTTAGATGCAGTGGACAGCGCAGTAAAATCTTTATATATAAAAATTTCGTGTCACGTGTTTGTCCGCGATGGTCTCCTAAACTACTTAACCGATTTTAAATTTGATTTGCATTCCGTGTGCATTTTGATCCAACTTGAAAGATAGGATAGCTTACATCTCAATTTATAGTCACAATATTATTTACCTTAGACAATGCAACGCGTGGCTGGGTCTGCTAGAATGAATATAAAAAACTAATGTGACCTTCCACAAGTAAATTAAGTGTGGAAGAGCCATACTTCGGCATGAATGGGTCGACCCGGCTGGAGTGACACCACGGCCTTACAGAAAACCAGCGTGAAACACAGCGTTGTGTTTCACGCTGGCCTAATATGGTGAAAATAAGGGGGTAGATGAAGATTCATCGCCCGAATTATAGGGAGCTGTAACATCGCATCTTCAGTCTGCTTGTGACCACGAAACCGTTAAACGTTTCTGTGCAACCAGCCGAAACTTCAAGCCTACCAAGGTATTCAAATAATAATTGTCTGCGTTAATACCCGCGTAAATAAATATGTTATTCAATGCAACTTGATACCTGACACTGGCAGTGTAGTCGACAACATTAAATTAGAGACTCGGTTGCCATTCAAGAAATAAAGAAAAAATACTCTTGTTACCTATGTACATAATATAGCTGTGTGTGTACGGCGTATTGTTTTGTATACCTACTTAATCTAATACTTAAATAAATGTGAAACATACCTTTCGGACCTTTATAACCTGAAACAACAAAAACATATTATTTAAATAATCGCATAGCCAGTAACGTCTCTACAAAAATAAAGAAAGCCGTACGAAATAACAGACAACGGTATTTTTTAAAAACGATCACTCTAACTTCTTTTTCTACTTTTGTAGTTTTAAAAGGTCGTAAATGTAAACGCCATCAGTCTGTTTTCTCCGATTTTTCATTTAGAGATACAACACTAATTAATAAATTAAAAAAAAACAACAAATAAAAAACTATCAGTCTACATATATAAATGATCAGTTTTAACAAAAATTCTAAGTATGGCATCTACACGGATGTAATAAGTCTGTCTGTCTGAGGTTGCATTTCAGAGTTATCACACGCGGAAGTTACTGCATTATTAGGTAGTGTAAAACCAATAGCGCGAAAATAGTCAATTTAATTACGTATTAGAACAAAAAAGTACTCCCCAGTGAAGCAACCTCGTTTCTCATCAAATAGAAAATAAAAGAATTGCATATTAATAATCTGTACGTCTAGTTGTAGAATGAGCAATCTACTGAACCGAAGCTTATGAGTCCCGAACACTGCTGTGACAATTTACAACCAAGTGACCAACTCAACGAGTGTGGAAGAAGAAGCCAAGCTTCGGAACGAATGGGTCGGCTCGACCGGAGTGATACCACTGCTTTACAGAAAAACGGGCGTGAAACAACTACAGCGTTGCGTTCGCCGTGTGATTGAATTTACCGGAGGCCCAATCCCTCCCCCTTTTTTTTTTCAGCTGAGAAAAATGCCTTACGCATACACACACCGCCCGGAGAGACGGTGAGGTTATGTGGGGCTTGCACCCACTAAAAAACTCAGCTTTCGTGCCGTCTTCTGCCTTTTGGGAGAAGCCACGAGGACCAAAAATGACATTTGTGACCTCTTGGCAGTGGCTGGTCGCCTCCATCTATTGGCGGTCCATCTCAGCAGCAGCTCGTGCAATGCAGGCAACAGTTCCCCGTTCTGCTACCCACTGGCTGTTGCTAGGGCGGCATCTGGGTGGCATAATGCCTACCCACCCTCCGGCGACGAAACGAGAGTCTGCAAGAGCAACTGCCCCTCGGACCTGCTCCGCCACCTCCTTCTGCGCCAATCCCTCCCCCTCACCCAACCCTTCCCAATCCGTAAATATCCGAAACCCTTATCCCTAAAAGGCCGGCGACGCACTTGTAACTCTTTTAGTTTTGCCGATGTCCATGGGCAGCGCCGATTGCTTACCATCAAGTATTCGTACTATCCGTCTGCTCGTTTGCCATAAAAAAATCTGGTATTACAAACATCCATAGAAATAAAAAAACACTATTTTATTTGGTGGCCGTAAACCTATGTGGCGCCATCTACCGCCACACGAATGTATATGGAATTTCGGTATCGGTTTAAACCAGCTTAGCGTTAAAATTGATACCGAACAATTACATCCATAATTAGTTATTGCAGTTGTATATAATATGTAATATAAAAAACATAATAATATTAATACCTATGGTTTCCAACATGTCCATCATTCTACGTTGATGTGGTGAGAAAAAGTCATCAGCCGTACTCCTGACGTTGGGCTGAAGTGCATGTGTGTTAAACGGTGCCGGAGCTGAAATAAAAAATTATATATTTATTTACTTCATGCACAAGAAAATGTACACAAGGTGGACTTAATGCTTTAAGCATTCTCTGCCAGTCTGACACTTAATTAATTCTTTCGATAAAAGCTCTACTAGTTTTAATTGACACCAGTAGTAGTACCATGAAGTGTTAAAGCGTGAATCTTTCGGGCGAGAAAGAGGGATGGAGCTATACACCTTTTATAGCTCAATCCCTCTTTCTCACTCGGTAGCGGTACGTCATGCTAGGCACTCAGATCTCATCGTTGGCTGCGTAACGTCGCTTAGGGTTCGCACACACAACACGACACCTATTTAAAATCAATTATTTTCTATTTAAAGGTCAAAAACAATACTTCTCTTTGGATTCTGTATAAGCTAGACTTATGAGGTCATCATATTTTTTACATACTCAATTACATATTAGCACACTTATTTCTTAAAATTAAGAATCTTATGATAATTATGTTTCACCGTGTAAATCGTCCCAACCCTTCCCATAAAACTAAAACATTTTTATTTTTATTAAAATGATAATTTGATTTACCTAGACTGGAAGCAGGACCAGTCGCGGCAGCCATATTGGGTTGCATTACTGGATTCCCAGCTTGGAAATTGATCATATTGGGTGGCATTCCCGGATTCCCAGTTTGGACATTGGCCATATTGGGTGGCATTCCAGGATTCCCAGCTTGGACATTGATCATATTGGGTAGCATTCCCGGATTCCCGGCTTGAACATTGGCCATATTGGGTTGCATTCCTGGATTCCCAGCTTGGACATTGGTCATAATGGGTGGTATTCCCGGATTCCCAGCTTGGACATTGGTCATAATGGGTGGCATTGCCGGATTCCCAACTTGGGCAGAGGCTAAAAAAATAATTAGTATGTTTTTATTATTATTATTGTTACACCTAGGCTGCCACCTACTACTACAATACTCCGCCCATCTGAAGGTTGCCTGGTAGGGATCGCTTTTAGCGATAAGGCCTCTTTGTACACAGTACTAATAGATTCTGTAATTTTGTATATGCATCACAACTCTTTTGGTGTACAATAGAGTTTATTTATTATTTACATATATTTATTAAAATCACTCTAAATTACATTTATAAATTAATATTACTATAAAATAAAATAAAATAATATTTATAAATATAAAAGTAGGAGCCAGCCGGCAGCAGGAGCAAGGTCCAAGCTGCCGGTGGTAAGGGCTCCAGAGACAGGAACCTCCTCACAATACGTGCCGTTTCAAGGAGGACTGCCATCTGTATTTTTTTTTATTTAAACGATCGGCAAACGAGCATACGCATTACCTGATGGTAAGTAATCAGCGCCGCCCATGGACACTCGCAACGGAGTAGTTACGAGTGCGTTGCCGACCTTTTAGGGATTAGGGATTTGGAGATTTAGGGATTGAGGAGGGATTGGGGGAGGGGAAGGATTGGGCCTCCGGTAACCCCACTCACACGGCGAAAGACAACGCTGTGGTTATTTCACGCCGGTTTTCTGTGAGGCCGTGGTATCACTCCGGTCGAACCGACCCATTTGTGCCGAAGCATGGCTCTCCCACACTTGTATGAGGCCCTTATTTATTATTATTATTATATTTTGCCTGCACGGTTGGCGTGATGGCTTGGCAACTGGCTGCCGCGCATTGTGTCGCGGGATAGATGCACACACGGAACTACCCTTTGTGTGATTTACAAATTGTTGTTCCGGGCCCGCGTGTGATTTGTATATGAAATTGTAAGCTTTTAAACGTACTCTACAACACAGGGATAAATCCTGGTGTGGGGCAACATGTTTTTACGCATAGAGAGGCTCTTAATAAGACTATTATTCACACGATATCAAAGTGCAGGTATGGTAAGTATATGTAACGTGTGACTCTTCCCCTCATTTTGCTTTGCCGTAGTCGGGTATAAAGCAACTTTGTTTTATACTATATGACTTTCTTATATAATATGTAGTGATTAATACTATACCTAAGCATAGTAGGTTTAACTATGTATCTAAGTATATCCTATACTAGCAGTAAAAATTGTTAGTACCTAGTAAAAATTGTTCAAAAGTCTCGACAAATTTCGAAAAAAAAACGCAATTTGTTCAAAAGTCTAAGTTATTTCTTCTGAATGTAGTAAAAAACGTTTTTTTTCAACATCAGAAACAGACAATTCAATTTAATTTAGGTGTACAAAGTATAGATGTTTATATAAGTGATGTGAGTGAACGAATGGGTCAGCTCGACCGGAGTGATACACCGTTGTGTTTGAGTGAGGCTACTGGAGACCCAATCCCTCCTCCCCATCCCTTCCTAATCATTAAATCCCGAAACCATTACGTATCCCTAAAGGCCCGTATCGCACTCGTAACTCCTTTGGTGTTGCGGGTGTAAATGGGCGGCACCGATTGCTAATGTATATTAACATAAAAATAAAAAAATATATAGTATTTTGTGTAGATAATTATATATTATCTATACATATGTATGTATTGATTATCCAAGACAAATAGAATAGGTATAATGGCAACCAGTACTTTTCAATATTTTTTTTAATACCAATATTCGTTTTATTTAAATCAATTGTGTATGAATAACTCGTATCGCCATCAATTAAAGCGTCAAATATGTATTATATGATATTAATTTCTCTTAATTTATCCAGAAAAATACTAAAACTAAGCTAAAGATTAAATTGGTTTAGCAACGTAAATAGTTTTATATGTGGAAAAAAGTTTAATCTAGTCTTTTACCTTTTTTGTTTCTGTACCTTATACATAAATAAATAAATTTCTCACCAGGTGCATTATTATCCTGCTTTTTCCAGTTGAGCTTTTGCTTTTTTATTTCTTTCATCTTGTTCCTTACATTGATATGAATACTATTCTCCAATATCGGTATAGCTGGAAATTTTAAACGTTAGATAAATACCCTGTGATAGGAATATCTTTAACCGCATATAATTGCCAGTCTATAAGTGCCCACTACTGAGCAAAGGCCTCTTCTCACATGGAGAAAGTTTGAACATTAATCTCTATGCTTGCTCAAGATGAATTGGCAACTTCAAAGTTATAATTTAAAATTATTAGTCCAGGTTTCCTCACCATGTTTTTCAACGCTGTTTGTCAGTGATGTCTGAATAGTCTTAGAAAGGAAAAGTCTCATTCGTACTTGCCAGGTTCGAACTAGCTCCCTCATGCCCCAAGCCAGTATGTGGGCCACAAATAACGATACATGGGCGACATTTATACAAAGTAAGTATATTTAAATGTAATTACCCGAACCGGAAGAAGTTGGAGCTTCACTGGTCTGTGGTTTAGCCCCTAGATCTTCTGTTTGGTCTTGCATGCCTTTAAATTAATAATAATTACAAAAATTGAAATTGTCTTAAAAATCAACAAATAAAATTCAGAAAAAATATAATAGTTTAATTATTTTTTCGTTTCTGTCCCTATATCTCTGTGTGTGCTTAAATATTTAAAACTAAGTCACGGATTTTGGTGCTTTTCTGAGAGAGATTGAGTGATTGAAGAGGAAGGTGTATAAGTATAGTAATAACATCCATTAAATGGTAAGAAAATTCATTGAGTTTGCACAATTGCAAGCAAAGCTTGGGCGGGTCACTAGTAACCAATAAAGCGTAATTACAAAAAAAACATTATGATACACCGTTGCCCCACACTAAGATTGTCTACAGTGTCGTAGGTGCGTTTACAAACATACAAATTCACACACACAAGCCACCCAGACCCGAAACAACAATTTGCGGATCACACAGTGTTGTTCCGTGCGGGAATCGAACCCGCGACACGTTGCACACCAGCCAGTTACCCACTTGCCCAGCCACTGCGCCAACCGTGCATTCAACCGATTAATTTGCTGATAAGGCGAATATTGTTATTGTAATTTAAAAATATATTATTTTGCACTATAACCAGTCTATAATGATATCAAATTAAACTCGCTAGTGGCTCCATCTACTTAATGGAAAACTATAGTTCTGCTCTTTAAAAAAAAGTGAATCTTGTTACTGTAGGAAGTTAAAAAAATCCTCTTTTGATGGTTCTATAAATACCATAAAACACACAGGCCAAATTAAAATTTCTTGCAAATTAATAAATTAATTTCAGCTGGTACTTGTATGTTGTCATTCAGTTAAGCAGGCCAGAATATCTTCACAAAAAGGTGAATCTTGTTACTGTAGGAAGTTAAGAATATCCTCTTTTAGTGGTTCTCTAAATACCATGGAACACACAGGCCAAATTAAAATTTCTTGCAAATTAATAAATTATTTTAAGCTGGTACTTGTATGTTGTCATTCAGTTAAGCAGTCACAAGAGAAATTTTGTATAATATGTAACAAATAATAACATATAGATGTTCAATTGACCTGATGCACTGGCAATGTCCGCTACTGGCTGAATAGTATTAATTTTACTAAATTTCTTTTTTAACTTCTTCCTTTCTATTTTGTTGCGAAATTTATTCTTTTTCTTCAGTGAGGGGGCTCTGTAATAAAACATTTTTGGTAATTAAATCATTTGCTACATTTCTCAAGGGGATATACAAATTTACTACTACTGCAACTGCTACCTAATATAATTAGTAAGAATCTACATTTCTGAATGACAATGACCTAGCCTTTTGATAGACAATCCGATTAGATTTTTTTTTATGTAATAGACCGGCAATCGAGCGGATTACCTGATGGTAAGCAATCAGCGCCGCCCATGGACACACGCAACGGAGGAGTTAAAAGTGCGATGCCGACCGTTTAGATTTTATTTTAGATTGGGGGAGGGGAAGGATTGGGCCTCCGGTAACCTCGATCACACGGCGAAACATAACGCTGTGGTTATTTCACGCCGGTTTTCTATGAGGGCGTGGTATCTGGTCTAGCCGACCCATTCGTGCCGAAGAATGGTTCTCCCACACTTATTTCATTACACATATTATATATATAGATATTTCAAAAGGGCCTGTTTGTTTATGGATTTATTGAAATAATGCCTTTGTCTTGACTACATACTTGTTTACATCTATTACAAGGGGCTCATAATAAAACTGATGAATAATGAAAGGTTTTATATTATTATTATTATGTACATGTATAAACCTTAGTCTACTTTATGATGTATTACGGGAGAAAACAGTTATGAACTTACATGTATTTATTTACTATATTCCTAGGGTTAAGGTTTTGGGGAGCATCACCAGGTCCATTTCCAAGTATATTGTCTTGACTAAAATGAGTAACACCTACACTAAAATCGTCTTGGCTAAAATCTATATCATCTTGAAAAATATCAACATTTTCATATTTAGCCATGATCTGACTGCTCTCTTTACAATATTTTAAGGTTGATATCAAATATATATTATCCAGTAATTTATTAGTGTTATTTTTTTGCATATAATCATATGTCAGTCACCACAGAAGCGAGGGATGTTTTACCTTCACTTTTCCGTATTTCCATTCTCAAGGGAATTTGAAATTTCTTTAAAATTATTTCTTTACTTCCGCTTATCAGTTATGGTTTTGAATGAACTGTAACACATAGATATAAGTTGGTTTTAAAGGTTTATAATAAAATCTATTGGTAAATCATACATCTTAACAAGCAATGCATATTTGGATATAAAGAATTACTTAAAACATTTATATGTATGTAAAATTAGCATATTTGCCTATAACTTAAGAGATAAGGATGCTATAACAATAGTAACAGAAAATATTACATACTTTCAAGAATCATTAGGTAACAGCGATAATTATTAAAATTGAATGTATGTGGAAAAAATTATACATAAGATATTATAAACCTTCAGTGGTACTGGTAAAGCAGTATTTGAATTGGAATTGGTTTTGTAAGAACTGTAGCAATATTTTTAAATTTGCAAGATAGGATATGTTTTGCTAATAACATTCCTATTATATATACCACCACTGCTTATTTATATCAAAACCTATATGAGTAATTTTTATGATGATACAGATAGTGTTGTATTATTTTGCAAGTATTAATGTTTGTGACTCTTGCATATCTTTCAAAAACCTATGAGTTCAAAATTTAAATTATCTGAATACAATTTGAAGCAGAGATAGATAAAATAGTCTGGAATAACAATTAGGCTTTGCATTCGAAGCGGATAACAGTAACTAGAATGATATTAAAGTACTTACAATGGTAAATAAATCCTCAAGAGAGCATGAAACCAATATGGTTATATTATATTTAAGTAATTCATTTGGAATCGGAATCGGAATTAGAACGATCTTTAACTGAAACTAAGCTAGATAGAATAAGCTATACATTTATAAATATCAGAATTATAATAAAATATAATAAAATATCGCTTAATTCCAATGTTTACGTTCTGAAGTTATAGAGTTATTTACTAAGTAAATTAGACCTTAACCCTAACAGGTTACTGAGAACTTATGTTGACTTACGTTGACATAGAAACTAAATAATATTCGCCAGAATTCGCCTTACTTCTGGCTTTCTTTTATCACCAAAATACTGAAATTGTTTCTTTCTTAGACAAGATTGTGTTTCAGTTGTTTGTTGGAGTTGATTTCTGCTTTGGTTACGAATAGAATAGAAGGAGACAGTATTATACACTTTAAAGTAAGAGCAAAAGAAACAAATATAACTCGTGTTGCTTATAGTACCAAACACTTTAAATGGTTTGACAGTGACATTATAGATGCTATAGGCGACAGCTGTCACTTGATCTTATTTTGACGTAATTAATGTTTTACATTATTTATATATTGACCAAGGTTAGCATCTGTGAAGCCTTTTTTACAAGTCGTATCCAAAATTATGAACAATTTTATAAAACCTACTAAGGGTTGTTTTTTTTAACTTTGCCCCATAATATAATTTTCTCGTGTATCGTGGTTGCGTTTACAGTTACACCCAGACCTGGAATAAGAATCTATGGATCTATGCAACGAGTTGCTCCATGCGGGAATTGAACAGACACTAAAACAGGATGTTAAAATTGTTTATAGTGAACACAGGCCTACTTTTGTGAGGGGAAAATCATCAAATGACTTCTCTTGAGCCGGAGAAGTCATTTGATGATTTTCTCGGGTCGGGAAGGAGGGAATGTCAGACTGCTGGCTAAAAACTCCCCTGTTCCTTCTTCTGCTTTGGGCCGAGGTCGCGGTGCCTCATTGCGTTTACCCCGCTACCCCGTCTGAAAATCAGCCATATAGGGCTCCTTTTGTGGTAGTCTACTGGCTCTTTGAGGCGCGCGCGGCGAGTCGTGCGCTCGGGTCTGCTTCTGGTCGGGCGGCGAGCTACCCTTTCTCGCCGTTTGCAGACCCGCGCTTACGGTGGCCGGAGATCGTCTCACGATCCTCGACACCCGGAGTGTCGCCTGCTGCGGCGGCTGGTGTGTTAGGGGGAGGATTGTTCCCTCATGCGGTCCGCCTTCCTCTTTGCGAACACAACTGCTTCATAGATATCCTCTCGCTCCGCACCATGGCCTAAGACGATGACTAAAGCTGGGCGTGGGAGGTCGCCGCAACGGATCTCTTCTCTGAGAACAATGCGGTGCTCAATTCAAGCAGGGCACACAGCCACAGTATGCACGCCAAAAAATTGAAAAGTCACAAATGGCCTTTTCGGGCATTTCATTCACGCAAGATAGAATTAAGTACATAACGTCTAATGTTTTTAACACATCGGACTCTATGTATACCTAATATCGATAAATTATCGAACCTTTCTTGTATCATCTTTGTCCTTTTTATATTTTTAATTTTGAAAAAGAACGTTCCGCAGAGCAATTTGTGATCAAAAGCTATAAAAATACGCGTAGGGTAGTTTCCACGTTAATTATCCAATTGGTTGTATTATGTATGCATAGAAGCCGGGTTGCACAATTACTCAAAAGAAGACAAGGATTTGATTGATACAGATTTGCGGGGGCGCCAGAATGCTGGCCCGCGGGAAGGGGTTTTTTGTGATTGGCTGATCGCTTATTATATAACACTAGGTCGGACTTTATGTCAACTTCATACGCGCGAATTTTCAAATTAGTCCTAGAAACTTTTTTTGGTGAGGTGATTCGTGACGTGTTCGTGACGCCCTACGGTCGGACTTTTTTGTGATGCCCTAAGCAATTGTCAAAAAAGTCAAAAAAAGAATAATTTATTTCAATTAGACCCATACAGGCACTTTTGAACGTCAACACAACTTTAAAGATACAAAGTGTCAGTCTGTCGGTCAGTCCTCTTAGTGAAGCTATTCGCTCGTTCCAAAGTGTAAATTCCGATGGAGAAGAACGAGCAAGAAACTCCATGGTTACTCTTTTAAAATCAGTGTCACATAAACATTCTTTGATACATTATTTAGTTAGTTTGAATATGTGAGAACAGTGTAACGCGTGTTATACAGAGAAACATAAAAAGAAAATAACCTTAAGGACAATAGACAGTCCGGAGCTGACCAGTCCCAATTGACGGCGCCCGTTCACGAGCATGACACGTACACCAGCATCGCCCAACTCAACCATAATATAGGGAATCGAGCGATCCAGTGACCGTGCCACCGCCAATGTGACCTTTGAGTGAGAATGACAACTCCAAGCTGACATAAGGACAGACATTCTGCTAGTCTTACTAATTTTAATAGGTTACAGGGCACTCACATTTACAAATTTATCAAGTTTAACAATAAAAATAGCATGCTTACAAATTTACAAAATCTAAGAACTTCCGTTCAAGCAAAGATCCACTGGAACATTATTTATATTCGTGTAGGTATATTATCCTGTGGAGCAGGACCAGCCCGTCTCCAAGCATCCTTATCCTCAATATAATCACTCAGTTTGTAATATGCTTTTTTACACAAAGTTTTCTTTACACATAATTTAAAATTTCTTTCATTTAATTGTTGTATTTCGCCTGGGATTTTGTTATAACACTTAACGCTGAATCCCATGAACGACTTGTGTACCTTTGCCAATCTAAATAATGGCTGACACAATCTATCTCTATGTCTAGTTTGGTAATTATGTCTGTCTGATACCTTATCAAATAATATTAAGTGTTTCCTAACATACATTATATTTTCATAAATAAACTGACCGGGCACAGTCATAATATTGATCTCTTTAAATTTTTCTCTAAGAGATTCGCGAAGCCTTAGGTTGGAAATTGCTCTGATTGCACGCTTTTGCAAGACAAATATAGACTCAATGTCAGCAGCCTGTCCCCACAACAAGATGCCATACGACATAATGCTATGAAAGTAGTTGAAGTACACCAGTCTTGCAGTGTCCACATCTGTTAGCTGTCGGATCTTCCAGACAGCAAATGCAGCAGAACTTAACCGTCCTGCCAGAGATGTGATATGGGGCCCCCATTGTAGTTTTTCATCTATGTCTATACCCAGAAAAGTAGTCTGTTTTACAAATTCCAATTTCTTGCCGTTTAATAATATGTCACATTCGTTACTTTTTACATTTGGTAAACTGAATCGTATACACTTTGTCTTTTTGTCGTTTAGAACTAAATTATTAACTGTAAACCAGTTATGAACCTTCGTAATAGCATTATTTACTTCGTCATAATTATTTGTCCGTCTATTTATTTTAAAAATCAACGATGTGTCATCAGCAAATAATACCATTCCCGGTTCTCGCTGAAATAAATGAGGTAAGTCATTTATGTAGACCAAAAATAGGAAAGGACCTAATATCGAGCCCTGTGGTACGCCCATAGATATGCTAGCACCCTGAGAATTCACTTTGTTTACCTGTACTTTAAGCTGCCTATCCTGGAGGTATGATTTTAATAAATTGAGTGAAGCCCCTCGAATACCATAGTGTTCCAACTTTAGCAACAGTGTCTCGTGTTCGACGCAATCAAAAGCCTTGGACAGGTCACAAAAAATTCCAATAGCGTCGTGCGACTCCTCCTACGAGGCAAAAACACGCTTAATTAAAGTTACACCGGCGTCAGTTGTGCATCGACCTTTGGTGAACCCATATTGTTGATCATGAAAGATGGAATTCATGTTAAAGTGACGCAGCATCTGAGAAAGCATCAGCTTTTCAAACACCTTACTAAGCACCGGTAAAATAGAAACCGGCCTATAATTATTAGGATCGGTATCATCGCCAGATTTAAACAGTGGAACTACTTTGCTATGTTTCATCAAATTTGGAAAAACTCCCTGATCTACACTTCTATTATAAATTAAAGCTAAATGAGGCGCTAAAGCTTCTATAAAAGCCCTACACACTGCAACAGACATTCCCCAGAGATCCTCTGTAGACTTAACTTTAATGTCTTTAAACGCCTTTATTACAGATTGGGGGTTTGTGTACTGAAATTGGAAATCAGAACGGCATTCTTTAATATTTCTTTTGAGAAGACTAATTGAAAGTGCCGGAGATGATTCTAAGTCCTTTGTAGTTTCAATGGGGATAATCTTGAAAAAAAATTCGAATTCTTGTGCAACTTCCCGATTTACACTAACATGTCCATTTCCGGTATTTAAATTAATTTCCGTGTTATGCAATTTATGTCTGCCTGTCTCATTGTTAATTATTTTCCATGTAGCCTTTGTTTTATTTTCAGCGTTCTTAATCTTACGGCTAATGTAAAGAGATTTTGCTTGCTTACAGACCATTTTAAATATTTTTGCATATTATTTGGACACATGCTTGCTAAAGGCTTCGCTTGTATTAAATGGTTTCATACCATATAGTTCAAATAACTAATTGCTTAATTTGATCAAGGGTTAACCCGTCACTGAAGTCCAGGTTTCGTCATGATTTTTTCCTTCGCCGTATATCAGTGGTGTCTGTCTAAATAATAATATAAAGTATATAATATAACTCGGTAAAAATCTCATTGTTACCTACATACCAGGTTTCGTACTTCGCTACATTCATAGATCTCCAAATATTCGTTGTAAAGGGTTGTAGGGGAATTTAATTGTTTTTTTTTTATCTTCCGTTACAAATTTAGTCTACTTATTACAACACCGGGGTATCAAATTTGGTAAAGCGATGCGACCGAAGTTACGAAGTCGCAAATGTAGGTACAGTATAAGTACATGCCTCCACAGACATGCCGCACTCCGCAGTTCACTACAACAAATTTGTCTCCTACAGAAGTGGCAACTTGTTGAATCAGTGCATAATAATATCTGCATCATAAGCGCAGAATGGCAACAGGGTAAACGGAAGCCAAGCGCCGTCCTTTCCTCGAAATTCAACATAGGTATATTCAAATTTTCAATAGGAACCTGATAGAATCATATTTTATTTTATGTCGTAGGCTGGCAAACAAGCTATCGCATTACCTGATGGTAAGCAATCAGCGCCGCCTATGGACATTTGCAATATGAAAGGAGTTACTTCCTACAAATGCTTTGTTAACCTCTCGTGGGGGTAATCAGATAAGATTTAAAGTGTGGGAGAGCCATCCGTCCACTATACCACGGTCTCACAGAAAACCGGCGTGAAGCAACCACACCGTTGTGTTTCGTTTAGGGATAAAAAATATTAGGAATTTAAGGATTGAGGATGGGGTGGGGAAAGGAATGGGTCTCCGGTCACTCAAACTATGAAACATAACGTAAGTGTTGCTTCACGGCGGTTTTCTGCGTGGTATCACTCCGGTCCAGCAGACCCATTTTTGCCGAAGCATGGCTCATCCACACTAAGAGAATATTTTATACAATATTTAAAAAAGACGAGCAACGACAAAGCGTTTTCACTTTTATTAGGTTAGGTATCTAATTTTATTTTATAACAAGATTTATTCCTGTAATATCGTACACGTAGGTACGTCAAGCAATATCATAGCGCATGCACCCGGCTTGAACGTTACAAAATGCAATATTGCTCGTTAAACCCACTTGACCCGTGGGTCCCCGTATACACAGGGCGTTTCATTACTCCAACCACTGTTATGAACGGTGACTTGGAAAAATGTTGAGTTTAAAAAATGTTTTTCAACATTGCAAATTAATTTTCCGTTTGAATTTATGTTTATCTGTATACCAACCTGTGTATATTGTTTTTAATTAACGGCAATAAGTTTCGAATTGCGCTTTGATGGAAGGATTGTTTGATGGTACGAAATATAAGAGGTTTTTGAAGTTCGGACCGAAGGATTATATTTTGTTTTTCTTTGAAGTTTGATCTGGGATAATGAATATAATCCTACTTTTTCCTTGTTTGCTTTTTCTCAACCGTAAATAGAGCCTATATAAATAGGTAGCTGTCTATTTCTGGTTCAAAACCAGTTAATCATACAGAGTAAGTATCTCATTTACTGCATGCCTTGTTGTTCAGAAATGAAAATATTGTCGCAAAATATCGAATCATTAAAATTCAGTACCACCTTATCTCTTAAACCACAGCATTTACGAACTAAATAGTTTAGTCCAATTAAAGGAGGTCATTGCTCTATTGTTTTAACAACGAATAATAAGGAAATTTGAGGTCAAATGTAATAATATGGAATTACGTAATTAAATCCTGAAGCGACACCGTTTGTCCGGCCATAGCAACAATTGGAAATATAAATTACAAACACCGACCAGCCTGTAGATACTTGACCTTTGTTAGGGTCGCGATCAAATACGTTTACATTTTATTACCTCCCATCGAAATCATCACGGTAATAATTAGACAATTTGTTAACAATTCAAAATTAAGTATAACATGAGTTCTCGGCTCCAGTCGATGCCAACGCGCGATAAATGTCAGACTTTATCGAGTATTCGAGTCCCTTAGTGATTTTTTCCTTATTTAATAATCTAAACGAATTACAAATTCTATAAGCGTTAGTTCACAATATTATAGTGAGCGTAATAAGTGGTGTTTTGTGGTGTGGTGTGTCCTTTGTACTATAATTTTAATTCAAATATCTATAAATAAATGTTCTATTGGATTGTGCGTGTATCTGTCATAATCAGGTTCTAATTAATCATTAGAATATAATTTAATTGGCCGCTATCATTGGATTTTAGTGAAATTATTCATTAACATGTTTTATGATTAGGTTGTTATTAATACCTACCTAATTAATAAATAATAATATGTCTGTTTGAGATTATTTTAGAGTAAAAAATGAATGTTTCTTGAGGTATAAACAATAATTTGCGAAGTAGTATTTAGGTTTATTTATTAATAAGTTATTCATTCACAGCTCATCGTTACATGCTTAGGTGATATAAATGTATAATTATAATTAAATAAATATAGGTAAATAAAAACATACCTATATCCTATACATAGGTACAAACTATAAATAGTGGGTATACTAGCACATATTAATTATTATAATTATTTTTATTTTATTTAATGATTAATTAATAATTAAATAATAATAATCTGGTAATAATCAGGCCAATTTTAAAATATAAATATAGGTACTTTGTGAACCATTTAATAAGTGTTGTTGAAAAAAAAATCTTTTTCCATCGATTGATCGATAATAGAACCATTTTAGGAATTCCCTAAAACAATCTTATTATATTCTCGTTCAGTAGGTACCTATGTCTACCCAAAGGTCGCTTTTATGAGGGGTGATGGTAATAATATACCTACAATATAATTATAAACGATACAACTTTTGCATCGTCAATTGCATACTGAAATAGACCAAACACAGACAGTTTTTTCATCAGCCTTGTAATCTTTATGTAAAGAATTTGAAATAACTTTTAAAGTAATTTCTTGCACAATCACTCTTTATGTTCCTCAGTTCTCGTTCTGTCTACTGGTAGCATTGTCGGGACGCCTTCCCCACTTACATGACTCATTGCCTCACAATCGCAACGGTCCCATTGTAAGTAGCGACAGGTTTATTTTGATATCAAGAACATCTTGTTATGCCGTTTAATTGAGCTATTTGCAATATTAGATAACTTGGAATTATGTTAGGGTTGCCATCGACATGGTTGAGTATTAGGTATTTGGTTTTTAAAGTTGTTTTTTTATGGGATAGGTCGGCAAACGAGCAGACGGATTACCTGATGGCGCCGCCCATGGGGTGTTCAGTAACACCGAAAGGAGTTAGAGAGCGTTACCAGCCTTTTAGGGGTTAGGGTTTCAGATATTTAAGGATTGGGAAGGTATTGGGAGAAGGGCAGGTATTGAGCCTCCGGTAACCTCACTCACACAATAAACGACGCTGTGGTTGTGTGAGGCCGTGGTATCACTCCGGTCGAGCCGACCTATTCGTGCCGAAGCGTGGTTCACCCACACTGGTAGAGGTCCTTACATCTAAGTTTGGATGGTGTTCTTACAAGTTCCAGTTCTCCATGGACCTGGCTTCGTAAATTTTATTATTACATGGCCGTGACATGGTATGGAACAGGTGAACCGTCAGCTAGTTTGCCTCCTATTATGAATGTACCGAGCATTTCTTTAAAGTGCAATTATTGCAGAAATTCTTCTCAAGAAACTTTCCTTCTTTGCAAAATGCGCTGCCTTGAAGTAGGGACCTACTTATGCAAGGAACTACCAAAATATCTTGTATGCAGAATTTCGTGAATAGTTGTGATATAGGTATACTTAAAATTTAATATCTTTTCCTTATTATTATGTATCCAATTCAAAGAAATGGTGTTCTTCTACTGTATCAAATTACTAAGTTGAATCCTCTCTGTGTATCAAGCACTCAAGGCAAAGAGGATTATGATTTGCTTATGTAATATTTTAATTGCTATTAAATATCTATTGAAAATTTACTCAGTAAATTATCTAGAAGGCACTTTTCTTCACTTTATCAGACGTACCAACATTGTCATGCAAAATTTTCTCTTGTCACATTTCCTTTAAAGAACAAAATCGTTTATTGAATTTGATTCATCATTCATTGTTTTTTTTTTCGGTAGACAGTTAAGCCACCTATTTCTGGACACCGGCCCCTACAACGTCATATCGTCCTGAGTCATTGATTGATACTTATTGGGTCCTTGAACCTTTTATTGGTAATAATGATTTGTTCTTCTGTCAGGACGTGATGAGGTTATTTGATATGGAGTCTATACATTGTATGTCCCTAAAAGGCCCTAAATTGCGCACTACTTCAGTTGCTAAAAATGTACTTAAGTCTTTCATTGCCGTCTAGATGGTTATTCTTTTTTTAAAAAAAACCTCACCTCATTAATTTTGCGATTTCTTCCTATAGGTAAGTAATATTTAATTATTATATCTATTTCACGAGGAGAAAGAATTTCTTCTTTAAGTTCAAGCTTAAAGCGTGCTAGTGTTTCTTTTGCCTTCGATCGTCCATATGCATTCGTCGATTTTATCTCACTACGTCATTCTAAGAGTCAGATAAAGTCGTTTTAGATCTGCATCTACATAATTCTTAAGATATTGCAATAAGTATTCATGTTTATGGTAGATTAGAAATTGACTAGTCGAAATAGCGTTGGTATTTATACAACAAGACCCTGTAGGTACGCACACACACACAATATTACATAAATATGAATATAACACTTTATTATGTATTAAGTTTTAGTGTTAAGCATAGATTTAATACTAGACTAGGTAAAAAGATAATTTGTACTGCAAGCCTATCTAACCTCTTTATGCTGTGCCCTACCGGGTCCATATTGTTTCCAACACGGTTTCCAATATATAGTTCGACTTTATAAAAATACCACCTGTATAACATAATATGGAATGTTAATAAAGTATTAAGTATTGAGTTACACGCGTGCCTCAAAGAGCCTATACACCACATCAGATGGCAATAGGGCCGATGTTCAGCCAGGGTTTGCCTTCAAGTGCTATTAGGTACCGTGGTCTAAGCCAGTAGGCTGAACGGGGGTGTATAGTCAGTACTGACAATCCCTCTGGCCATACCCTGGGCGAAAGAAGTCATTTGATGATTTTTCCTATTCAAAAGAAAGTCCCTGTACATAAAGCTTTGTATAATATAAGTACCTATATAGGTACTTATTTATATTAACAATTACATAAACAATAATAATGAGGCTAATTAAAACCGTGTCCTATATTGTCGAAACCAGAAATTAGAAAGCAATACGCATTGTTTAAATAGTTCATGATCCGTGTAAACAAAAGCCTGTCACGGTATCATGGGTAAATTGAAATAATGAACGCAATAATGACGTCATCATTATGTACCGTGTACATTCATTTGTGTAAATTTATCTGTCAGACTTAATTTGAGTTTTATTTACATTTTAAATTAAGCAAGAGAAGAAAAATTCAATTACACTGTACAAGCCGGGGTTGTAGGATAAGCGCATCAAGGTACCCCGGCCTCGGCCTAGAGCAGGAGAAGGAAAATCATCCAATGGCTTCTCTCGCCCAAGGTGAGACGAGAGGAAATGTCAGACTGTTACTGACCCTGTTTCTCCTCGTGCTCTCGGCCGAGGACGCCGTAACTCATTGCGCTAGCCCCACTAGCCACACAACCTCGGCTGAAGGAAGGGTGATGTTTGGTCAATAAAGTTCTAACGCTCTCGCCTCACCTAGGGCGGAAGAAGTCATAAGAGAATTTTCCCTTTACAAAATAGTAGGTTTAGTAGGTTTTTAGTCAGTAAGAGTCTAACACCCTCTCTCGCCCGGCCCTGGGCAGGAGAAGTCATTTGATGATTTTCCCCTCACAAAAAAAAGACCTTGCCCAGTTTCTCTTTCAACCTTTTAAAACAAAACTCATTCAGTTATTAGCACCTTTCACAATAATAAGCCGACGTTATTTTGATCGATCTCTTTGCATCTAGGGTCAGGGACATTTAATCAATTTATTGATTAACATGTGCACTGCATTATTAGATAGCGAAATGTTATTTTAATCGTCATTTATCAAACAATTATCAAAGTTAATATAACATCGTGCAGTATGAATATGCAATGCTTGTTATGCACCTACATTATTCGTATACTTACATATGTAAGGTATATATTTTCCTGTTTCGTGGCGGCGTTTACAAATATACAATTTTACATGACAACAAAACCTGGTATAATTTGTGGAGCACGCAAAGAGTCGTTCCCTGAGGGAATCAGATCCGCGACACGTCGCACGGCAGCCTGTCCGGTAGCCCAGCCACCTCGTAAATTGTACAGTCATGTGTATGCAAATATTTAGCTAGTAATATTAAGTACTAGCTTCTATCAGCGGCTTTGCGGTTCCGGGATAAAAAGTACATTATGTGTTAGTACTCCAAACTATAATCTATCTCTAAATATCATTAAAATCTGTTCTGCAGTTTAGCAGGAAAGAGTAAGAAATGTTCGTCTATTCATACTTACAAATCAAATATTACGAGTATTAGAATGTATCTACGTCAGACCTATTTAGTGTTAAAATGGTGTCGTTCAGTAAAATAAATGGCCATCCCTTGTAAGATATTAGGCGACCATATTTTTCCGAATGCTTTAAAGTCAATTCAAAAAAAGAATATCAGAAATCTTTAATGGTCTTGCAATTTTATTTACTATCTCTTATCTAGATAAGTATATCTTATACTATATATAGGTATTATATTTGTCCTATGAACCAGTAGGTTCATACACAGGGTTCATAGGACAAAAGTGTGTGTGTGTGTGTGTGTTTTTCCATATTTAAAATTGGCAACGATAGGTTCGTTCTCTATTACATGCTTTACACGAAATACGGTAGTTTCCAACTAGTCAAGTTCAATACTTCTATCCAAATGTCAAAAAGAATACTCTTCTATGAAATTTGTATGAAGCTCCAAATTATGACGTCATAGTATTTTAACGTCAAATATATTACTTTTATTCTTGAAAATTAACTCAAACATATCGAAAATTTAGTTTATCGATAGGTCGATGAATAAAAAAGATGGTTATTTTTAAATATTTTATTGTATTGAAACGTCGAATTATATTTATATTATATGACTTAGGAAACTATGCAATTCAATACACCTCTCAGCAGAGTAAAAGACGTCATGTTATGCTCTGTATTGAAAATAATAAAAAAATGTGATACCTAGTCTACTACTTAAAAATAAAATTAGTTCAAAAAACAAAAGGTGTAATAATTATGTAGGAAGGCTTGGTATGTAAGGGTAGGGTAGGATGGAGTACGGTAGAGCAAGGGCTAAGTTGCGGACAAAAGCTAGTTACAATATAATATGTATATGTATATATAAATCAACATCTATTAGCTTCCACGGTTAACGAGCACAAAATTAAAACAAATAAAGTACCCACCTACCTAATTGACAACTTCAGTCAATAAACTCCACTTACTACGCTGTCCTGCTCACTCGAACATTAAACCTTACAAAAGAAAGAGACAACTAGAGTTCAAACATGTTTTTAATAGATTTCTTTGTTGTTAATAGTTTAGAAATTGATCCAGACAATAGCTAAAATCCCATGATCAATATAGGGCCATGGGAAACGGAACACAATGTGTTTTCCCATAAATGTAAGGTACCTACACTTGAGGTTGTTCAGTCGTTTCGTACTGAGGAAGCGGTTAGCTGCGCGCACGCAGAAAAAGTATAAAAAGTTCGGAGGCAAACTCAAAGTGTCATGGCGAAAGCGGTGATATGGTAATTTTAATTTTATACTTATTATTTTAAGCTTTATTGTTCTTTCATCTTACTTATTACCTTCATATTATTTGCTTGTTCTCTTGATTATTTAGAAAGTGTTTTTTCAGTTATTGTTTGTTGACAGAAGGATCCGTAAGTATGTTTTGTCTCTGTCACACGTTGTCCTTGACTTGGTAAGTAGAGTACCAGTCGTTGCTACAATATTTATTTATTTAGTATAATATTTTAAGGTAAAAGTTTTAAGGATTCTTGTTGTGATAAACAATAACTGAATAAAAACTTTTCGAAATACTTTGAGCTTGTTTTAAGTTGTTAATTTTACAACCAAGATGCTAAAACTTTTTATTTTGCTTGCCTTTACTTAATTCCTTATACCAACTGTCATCATTTAATAATTATTCAATTGAAAATTTGTCAAAGAGAATCATTATCTCATTTGTTTTATGGCACTCCAATGTTTCGAATGAACGCTCATTGTGTTAACATTTTTAACTTATGACCATTTATTTTGGCGCCATTGCGAATTTATAATATCTACATAAAAATACTTTTTCCACGCTAAGATTTTCTCCTGTGTCATATATTATGTCTACAAACATACAGTGTCACATATTAAATACACATCACACTCAGACCCTGAACAAAATTCGTGAATCACACAAAGTGTTGATCCCTGCGGGAATTAAAGCTGCGACAGGTTGCAAGACAGCCGGCTGGCCAGCCACCGCGTCAACTGTAGGTAAAGTCTAGATTCTACCGACAAATATTCAAATATTTGCCCAGATTTCACTACGAACTTTGTCCTATACCTTAACCAGACTTTTATCATAATGAGCCTAGCTGTTTTTATTTTTAATACGTGACCGAAAAAACTGTAGATCTAGAAACGGTATGTATCTATGTTAGCCATATTTGTGAAATATATTTTCTGTTTTTGTTGAACAAAAATAACCAGACTATTGGATTGATTCTGATCCATGACAACGGGCGAATTATTAATTTAGTGTTCATGAAATTTATGCTTACGTACATAGTTTTAATGACCACATTAGATAAAAACTGATTCCAAGAAAATTTTATAAAAATAACAAAATAATCACGAATAAATACTGTAATTTTTGCGCGTACCAAAATAAATGCAGTTAAACAGACGCCAGCAATTGGCACTACCCGATTATCTCAAAGTCCTTAATAGATTTTCTGCTCTATCGGTATTGGTATTGAGTCGAAAATTAAATAAAGGTCGTATAGTTAATCTTGTTCTGCTGTTTTGTACAAGAATATACAATTACTGCAGATTGCTACTAGATAATGGATGTCCCACGCGTGTAGAGTAAAAACTCGTTTCGGATTCAACTGTGCATGATAGCTACACTTACCGTATCGCTGTATTTAATAAAAACTATAGTTTCTTGTTACTATGAGCAAGTATCTGCAATTAAGTTATTTCACGCCTGTTGTTCATCGAAGTCGTAAAGGTGATATACATCACACATTATATGTATATCACTTTTTATATTTATTTTTTGTTTTGGATAGGTCGGCAAACGAGCAGACGGATTACCAGATGGTAAACAATCGGGTTGCATGCATACAAGTGGGTTGCCGACCTTTTGGTGATTTTTGAGGATTAGAAATGAAATAGGAGATGGGGAGGTTTGCTTGTGATACGTCGGTTTTCTGCGAGGTCATGGTCGAGCCGATCTAGTCATACCGAAGCTTGGCTCTTTCACACTTGTTTTGATATTATAACAATATACCTTCAATATATATAATATATACCTTCAACAAACTTTTTTGTATGGATTTTGAGTAAAGTTTTACAGCTTAACATTTATGGTCATGCAAACTAAAAATGTTTATAAGTATATGCAAAATTGCAAATCAATGGAATGTAGAATTAATTTTGTTGATTAAAAAATAACTTATCATAAAGTCGTTCTCATTTTGTTAACGTCATTGCAACAATAATTACATAAACATTACAACTCGTGGGAGTTCGGTTAATCTGATTAAATTATTATAATACAATTAATTTTCAAAAGTAAAAGGACATATCTTATCTTAAGACGTAACCTTCAAATCGAACCTAACAATACCTAGGTATATATTTTTATTCTATAAGTATAAAATAATACGTATAGAATTCTTAATTTACATTTTTTTACTGCGAATGAAGTTAAAATATGTTTTATGATTACCGAAGTGAAAGTCGGGACATTTATTTAATAAACTGACCCTGAATAAACCCTTAACAACGTCAAAGAAATTAAAAAAAATAATTAAACAAGACCTCAGTATGTCCGACGGTAAAACTTAGTGTTCGTCCAAAAGTCAAACTCTGTAGGACCTTAAAAAAATATTTTATAATATTTGTTCGTTATTCTATCCAAAATCCCTACAGAACCACCATAAACGCAGTAAAATTAATTACAATAATCAAAAGATAAACACAGGAAGTGTTGAACTAAGTGTTTAAAGATTATCGAACATTGAAATGACCCAAAGAAATAAGTAAAAATAATAATATGTATGTAATAAGTATATAATCATTATTATAAATATTTTCTAATTAATGTTATCAATTACAACGTATAAATAAACACTAGAATCTAAACTTATTATAGCTTTTAGATAACACTGTTTACTTAGGAAAATTTATGTAAATACTATTTTCCTTATTGAGATATTTGAATCGCGTCACCAGCCTATAAGTGTCCACTGTTGACCAAAGACCTCTTCACACATCTAGAAGCGTCGAGCATTATTCACCACACAACAAGCTTAATGCGAACTGACTTTCTAATTCATACTTAATAAGGAATTATAAATCAAGATTCCCTTACAATGTTGTCTTTCACCGTTCATCAGTTGTGTGTCTGTCAGTTATCTGACTAGTTTATAGTAATCTGTGCTGTCAGTAATCTTTATAAGTAAATAAACCGGTTCAACTCATCTTCAGTCAACTTATGCAAGAGAAGCGGGTGCCTTAACCTTCGGTTCAATTCAGCCGGGGTTGCAGGATAAGCGCAATGAGTCACCGTGGCCTCGGCCCAGAGCAAGAGAAAGAACGAGGATTTTAGTCAGTAAAAGTCTGACACTCCCTTTCGATCTTGGGCGGGCGAGGTCATTTGATGATTTTTCCCTAATAACAAAAACCTCTGGGTCACTACTTATTAATTGAAATGCTACATAAAGTGGCGCTGATCCATGTATATGTCGTGGTCTGATACTTTATTATCCATTAAACAGCGACCTGAATGTGTAGCTGTTTTGTTTTTTTAATAACTGTTTCAATACAATTTTAGTAACTGTTTATTTGTCGCGGCGATTCAATTTCTGTGAGGGCCGCCATTTCTAACATATCCTTACCTACCTCTAGTAGCAAGTCTGTTTTTATAAAATTCCCTTCACTTAAAGGTTTGAATGAGAAATTTATGCATGAGACGTATACAATTATTTTATACTTGGCAGGCTATTTCTATTCAGATATTTCTATGTATACCATATACGGGTCAACATGGGATTTTGTCGAGACCTTGGTCTGGAGAACATTTCTGATAAACTGGACAGACCTGTCCAAATATTTGTTTTCTTATTTAAACGTTACATTTTAATAAAATGTTCAAATTGACAAAAATTACCAAAACACACCATCGACGCAAAAAAAGAAAATCAGAACATAACCATACAAGCCCAAACGACTCTTAATGCAATGGGAATAAAACATGAAATTGTTTGAAATACAAATATTAATACGAATTAATCCCTGTACGTGTAATTTAGGGTACACTTGACAGACTAAAAGGGTCTAAGGACTGAATAGTTAGTGGAAGTTTAACCACATTAAAGGACGTTACCTATCTGGAACTTCACTTAGGGCTAATAGAAAAAGGACGAGAATATGTATAATGTATTTTGTATAAAGAAAATTACATCTGACTTAAAACAATTATATTGTAATTCTCTCATCTCATATTATGGGAGAGCCATGCTTTAGCATAAATGGGCTGGCTGAACCAGAGTGATACCATCATCATCATCATCACCAGCCAACAAGTGCCCACTGCTGAGCAAAGGCCTCTTATCACACGGAGAAGGTTAGAGCATTAATCACCACGCTTGCTCAATGTGGATTGGCGATTTCAAACGTATAATTAGAAATTAAAAGTCCAGGTTTCCTCACGATGTTTACCTTCACCGTATGTTAGTGGTGTCTAAATAATCATAGAAAGTACACATAACTCGGAAAAAGTTACATTGGTACTTGCCAGGTTTCGCATGAGAAGCGGGCGCCTTAACTCCGGGGCCTCCACGAGTGATACCATGGCCTTGCAAAACACCAGCTTGGAGCAACACTTAAGCTCTTACGTTGTGTTTCGTCGTGTAAATGAGGTTACCAGGTGCCCAATTTTTCTCCCCCAATCTCAATCCTCAAATCCCCTATCCTTAAATCCCGAATAACCCACAAGAGACTGGTTACGCACTTGACGTAATTCTTTTGCTGTCGGACGGCGCCGATTACTTACCATCAGGTAATCCGCTGCTTGTTTATTAACCTATATCATAAAAAAACAATGTTTCAGTTGTGTTAAATCAGGTAAGTATGATAAATAGAGGCTTTTCTAGTGTTGGGAGTGCATATAACCGTTGATCACTTGCCGTCGACAAGGTTTCCGTGGTTGCCCGTATAAATATTTTCTCTTTTTCCCATGCTCAGCGTGCATCAGTCATGCATACGATGAGTACCTACATGTATAATACGAAATCAATTATTAGTAGTAGGTATATAAAAACCAAAAGAAGTTAACGTATCGAGGCCTTGCGGTTAAACTATTTCTTGACATCATTAGAACTTTCTTCGAACTCTTTGGAATGTACCTATGTGCCTACATACCTGTATCAGTGTTGTTAAAAGTTTTGAACAACTTAGTCTCGAAATATTGGTAAACTACCAGAAATAGTGGCTTTATGTTTTGGAAAAAAAAATATTTACATCACAATATCAGTATATCATAGAGAGGAAAAAAACCGCTTATTCTTTGTTGTGATTTAAACTAATAAAGAGATAAAATTTGTAAGTTTGTTTATAGGGAGATGTTTGGAACCACTGGTCGGATTTCCAAAATCCTTTCAATGATAAATGGTCACAATGTTCCTAAGCGCTATAAGACTATAAAACATTACACTATGATCTAACAGAGCCGAGCAGCGGATGAAACCGCGCGAGACTAGCTATTTAGTATTTTAGTAAAGTATGTCTTATTTGTTTTTAGAAATATCTTTAAGGATGAAAAAAATTGTTTCAGGTTACTAATCCAGTTCCTCTACATCGGAAGCATATCACCACAAAGGTTGGAAGTCAAATACACGAACAGTTCAAGAATATGCAAAGGGGATCTCTTTAAAACCGTTGCCGACCTGAAGAACTTGGAAGGATGTGTGGTTGTCGTGGGCAGCGTCGAGATATTTATAGAGAAATCGAACGCGGATAGCTTTACAAATATGACGTTCTATGATTTAAGAGAGGTGAATATATTACTAAGTTATAACAGTTTTACTATATATTTTCTCATTTACATACTGAAATGTTTCACTTATGAATAGACCTATCATACTCTCAACATATTAGAAAATATTATTTTTGTGAGATTTTTTAAGCGTTATGTTCTAGATACCTATATATGTATGGCCTACTCTATCTCAAAGTATTAGAAGGAATTGAAATCCATAGTATCTAGAGAAATCAAATGAAATAACTCTTTCACGGACGAACGAATGAACAAAATTAATAAAAGAGTGCAGATTTATTGCCAATCATGGCTTATATATTTATATGAATTATATTTACCTGTGTATACGTAGCTTATGGGGCCAAAAATTTCCAATTCCTATTGAAATGTTTTCATGAAATGTTTCAGATAACCGAATATCTCCTGATTTATCGGGTAAGAGGTCTGGAGTCTGTCGGCCAACTGTTTCCCAACCTCGCCAGAATAAGAGGGATAAGGTTGCTAAACAACTTCGCTTTAATCGTGTACGATAACTCCAATCTCACAGAGGTAAATACATAAGTGCATTTCTCTTATTTTTTTACGGCATTCATTGTTTTTTGTGAGATAGGTCGGCAAACTTGATGATAAAGCAACCGGTGTCGCAACACCAGAGGAATGCGTTACCGACCATTTGAGTGCTAGGGTTTCGGAGATTTAAATTGAGGAGAGATACGGGGCGGGAATGGATTGGACGATTTAAACGATAAAAATAAATGTGAAATAGAACAAGTACTGGTAACGAGTTTCACATAAGAATGTAGTATACTTTACAACTTACAATGTCGTACTAACAGTGGATGTTAGATGCTGAGTTTGGTGAAATTAGCCAATGAATTACATAACACGTTATCTGTCCACGTTTACACTGAAGCAACAAAATATCCCCGGCCTAGAGCAGCGGAAGAACGGTGTCGTTTTTTAGTCAGCAGTGTGATTGTTTAAGACTTCATTCTAAACTTCGAATTTGAATCCGCTGTGACTATTAGTACACTAGTGCTATACTTGCGAGTTGAACTAAATTGACAGCAACATTTTGATAGATAAATTATGAGATGACGTTAAAAGTGGCATTCTAAAATTTAATTTCCCTGTCACTTCGACGCTCACTTCGCACTCGAACACGATTCAAAATCAAACAAATTTTATAAAATCGACGTGCTGTCGCTCTCTCTCGCCCGACCTAAGGCATATGATTTTCGCTCCCCTAGAAAAGCTCTCTACAAAATTACATTTCGTCAACACAAATCACAACCCCATCACTTGCCATTCTCACTTCATATTCACATAGAGACTGACAAAATATCAGAGTAAAACTCGAATCCATTTCGCCAAGTTGTACGGAACAGATTTTACAGAATAACACAGCTGTTCGTACTAATGAATGTGGACTCTGAGTCTAGCGAAGCGAACTTCACGTTTGTAACTGAACGAACCATAAAACTGCCCAATTAAAGCCAATATCTATGATTCGATAGTCAATTTTTCGCCACTGAACGACAAAAAGGTATTTGCATTTAGATAGCTTTAATGGAATTTCGTATTAAAATACAAACAATAGCTGTATTGGCATTTGTTTTTTCGAACAAATATTTCAAATGGACTATGAATATTTGACGGGTTGTTTGTTAATTAAAACTAGTTCTGATCCAGTTTTTTCTTTCGTTTTATTATCTGTTAGGTTTTTGTTCTTTCTAAACATTATTCGTAGCAGAAAGTTTTTAATTTTTTCCTTATTCACTTATGCGTTTACGTTTATACATATACCCCTTCGCAATGCGGAACATTCCCCGATGACTTGACGAGAAATTTAACAGGAGATTAGTAATTTTTAGCAAGCCTTCCAGAAATTGGGTGTTAGTTTCGTATCCCTCCTTTTTTTTATTTAATAGATCGGCAAATGAGCATACGGATTACCTGATGGTAAGCAATCAGCGCCGCCCATGGACACTCGCAACGGAGGAGTTACGAGTGCGTTGCCGACCTTTTAGGGATTAGGGATTTGGAGATTTAGGGATTTAGGAGGGATTGGGGGAGGGGAAGGATTGGGCCTCCGGTAACCTCACTCACACGGCGAAACACAACGCTGTAGTCATTTCACGCCGGTTTTTTGTGAGGCTGTGGTATCACTCCGGTCGAGCCGACCCATTCGTGACGAAGCATGGCTCTCCCACACTTAAATAGGATGATATTTTAAATAGGATGAGATGTAAATATAAGTAAATTAGGAATACTGCTCTGTAGAAATCTATCTCTTTCTTACATACCCTTAATATTCCTAATAGTGCCCTATCGGGGTTCATGACCTGCTTACAGACAACAAAAGAAACAACAACAAACGCGTTAGTTTTCTATTGGAAACAGAGATTTGCCATGGTGGAATCCCACGAACTCACAGCAGTACGGTGAAGGAATTAAGTCCCAATGGAGCGGACCTAACCTCATTTGTAAAATGTAGTTTCGTTCCACACTTGTAACTGTGTTTTCAAACAGATCTTTACAAAACCACTAACAGTACATCTAATATTATAGAATGTCAAATTTTGTTTGTTACTGTTTAAAAAAAAACTACAGAACGGATTTGAAGGACGTGTGGCATAGAGACAGATTTTAGTGGTAACACTGTCAGAACTCGGATAAATCGTTAAAAAAATCCAAATTAAAATAATAAGTAATAATGTTAGCTTTTTACAGTTACAAAAAAAGAGCCTTGTTTATTTTTGTTGAACAAAACACTCAGTATAATATGATCATGCACAGAATTTTTTGAAAGAATCACCCTTTCTTAAACCATTTTTTATAGTTTTTTTAGTCTTGTTGTTATTTTATCTTTACAATTCAATCTTGTGCTATAAAAAAGAGATAGTTCAGTTAGTTTTCATGTAAATAATAGGTCTATTTTTTTAAAGTAATAAATTAAGTGAAACCTCTGGATTAGGTAAAAAATTATATAAGGAAAAGCTTTCTTCTTTTGTGTGAAGTTTGTGGATCACACATAGACTTGTAAGGTACGTGAATCGAACCCGGAACATATTGCACAACAGCCTGATGCCCAGCAACTGATGCAACAATGTTTTCTAAAATAATTATACTAAATACATTGCTTCAATTTTTTACGTTACAGATTGGACTCTTTAGCCTTGTCAAAATTGACAGAGGAGGTGTGACTATGTGGGCGTTACCACAAGCCTGCTTCGTTGACACCATTGACTGGAAAGTATTAGCTCCTAGAGCTCGGCATGTGATCAGTCCTCCCTTAATCGATATCCCTATGAGGCAGATCCAGTGCAGCGTTCCCTGTTCTTGTTCAAGTAATGCTGCCACAAATCGTTGTTGGAATAATAAGTAAGTACTATTCAATTATTTATTCAATTTGAAGTGTGAGAGAGACATCCTTCGACACGAATCGGCCGGTTCGACCGGAGCTAAGCCATGACCTTATAAAAAACCAGCGTGAAAGAACTACAGTGTTGTATTTTGGCGTGCTTCTGAGGTTACCGGAGGTCCAATCTTTCCTCTCCCTCATACCTCCCCAATTCCTAAAATCCCTTATCCTTAAAGGGACTGTGGCACTAGCCACACCTCTGGAGTTAATAATGATAATTAAATCCTTTATTAGTGTTAACAAAAAGTTTACAATATATAAACTCACCAAACTGTTTAGACAGTTTTAAGGCGGGAATAGCGTTATTACATCTTGTTCTGTATTCTAAGATTACATCATATAAAATATAAAAAAAATTGGAACAAATCGGGACTTATACACCAATCACAAACAAAACAAAATAAAAAAAACTATTATATATATATAAAGTTGTGAAACTATCTTATACATATATCCAATGGTTTCATTGTCTTATGAGTGAAGTTTCCGAAGAAGTGATATGATTTAAAAGGATCGATAGCTTACCATGCGGTATAAACAAATCACATGTAATGTGAATTTATAAAATAATATTTATTCTCGTATTTCAGACGATGCCAGATATTCCTGGACGGGCCAGATGCTGATAAATGTAACGATCAGTGTCTTGGATGTCGTAAAACAAACAAGGACGCTTGCTTTGTTTGTCGCAATTTTACGTATAAAGGAAAATGTTTGGCAGAGTGTCCACCTCACACGTGAGTGTCTTTGGAATATTAAATTAGTTAATAAGTCGGCACAATCCGCATGATACCACCAGCTTCACAAAAAACCGGCATGAACACTTGCGCTGTGTTTACTAAAATATAATATAATATCTCTTTTAAAATTAAAAGACGATTAGGTCAATACCTATACTTATTAATTTCAAAATGAATGTATACTTCACACAATTAATTTTGTATTACAGAATCCTTCTTCCCGACAGCCAGTATTGCATCACAGTGGATGAATGTTTTGAAATTGGTCGGTGGGTGTTCAACAACACCTGTGTGTCCGAATGCCCCATGGACTACAGGATTAAAAATGGTACTAAACGCAGACCCACCATTTGTGAACCTTGCACTCACTGTGAAATAGTAAGTATGGCCTTTGGAATTATCTTGATAAATAAAATAGATCAAAAAAGATTGAAAGATTTTTAGGCTCCACAATCTATATTTACATTTCATTATGTAAAGCAACGTTTAGTTAGTAGCACTGGATGTATCAATTTGACCAACTAAAATACGTTTTAGATTAAGAACTGCTAGTGCTCATAGTCTATAGTTCTGGCCACAAATAAGAGCAAATAAATCCTTTGACTTTGACTTTGACAAATAGAACAAAGTGTAATTGGACCATTGTTGTCATTTTTTGTATATCTATTTTCAGACTTGCGGTAGCCTCAAAATCCAATCTTTAAGCTCAATCCAAAGCGCAGAGAAATGTGTGTATGTGAATGGATATTTGGAAATACACGTAAGAGCAATTCCTGGCGTACTCGCAGACTTACGAACGTATCTCGGTCAAATTCAAGAAGTGTCTCAGTTTATATCAATCGAAGGATCTGATATAACAACACTTGATTTCCTATCATCATTGAAAAAAATAAAAGGACAACATCTAAAAGATGACAAATACAGTCTTAATATCCATCGAAATAATAACCTACAAACACTATTTACTGCATCTGTAACTAAAAACGTTATCATCGAAGCTGGAACAGCAAGATTTGATCACAACCCAGTGCTTTGCATGTCTAAAATAGATGAACTGAAAACTCGGCTGCCGATACCACCAAGTGCTATAGATATTCCAGAAGGTTCTAATGGCTATCGAGGGGCATGTGAAGAAGTAATTTTTGACTTCGAAATTACACTATCAAAGGAATCTTCTGTTCTAATACAGTTTTCACCAATACTTGACCACAGTACACATTATACTGCATTATATGTGCGTCTACCGCCAGGAGTCCATACCACGGTGGTTCCTGAAACTTGTAGCGAGTTTGAATGGCATGCTATTGACATTCCTACATTATTTGATAAGAATTTTGGCGTTGTAGAACTCAATGGTTTACATGCTGCATCATCTTACGCCCTCTGTATCGAAATATATGATCCTGAGAAGAAACGATTGGTTAGAAGCAATATCTTTAACTTTACAACGCCTGTAGGAATTCCAGAGCCACCGTTCATAGTGGAGTTAGTTGCATCTGCCTCAGACGTTGTTGTGTTACGATGGGTCGATCACAAAGATTATGTTCCTCATATCGATTACTATGAACTAGATGTGACCCTGATTGACAATTATTCCAGGACATCAACAGTAGTAGACTATTGTCGTTATAAAGAAGATTTATTCGATGCTGACTATACTCGTCATGCTTTAGTACGGAGGCCACCTCCAGAATATGCGAGAGGCTGTGAATCAATGTGTGGCATATTATCGTCTGTCACTCCTGGTGCAATGGTAGAGGAGTATTTCGACGTATGTGATGATTCTAATTTCGATTGTAATAATCAAGAAAGTATAATATCAAGTAATTCAAGTTTTGGCAACTACGTACGCACACTAGTATTGTTAAATATAAGCAGCCCCAGAAACGATTTTCAAGTCGGTGGTTTAGCACCCTTTAGTGATTATAAGTTTAGGTTAAGAGCTTGTTCCGGTGGACATTGTAGTAGGTCAGCAAGGGGCGTAGTCAGAACTTTCAGTTTAAAAAATGCTGACATACCCTCTATTAGCTACTTGCACGCGAACCAATTTGGTTATATTTTTGTAAGGTGGAATCCGCCAAATGTTACAAATGGACCAATTTTATCATACTCAGTAGAAGTATTGCCTAGAATTAATGTAAATGACCTAATGCCTCAAGTTTGGTGCGTGGCGGCAGAGGAAACAAGGATCTTCGTTCAATCTGTGATAGTCTCCAAATATTTAGTTAGGGTGTGTGTTAAAACACTCGCTTCCAGTAATTCTTGTAGTGATTGGATAAAAATTACCAGTGTTACCGAGTCGAAGACGATTCTACTGTGGATCGGTGTGACTTGTGGGATTTTGATATACATCGCTTCGTTTGTTGTGGGATGGCTCAAGAGAAGATGGAGGCATCGCAGCGATGTAGTGCCATTAGTCGATAGTTCATCTTCGTTACGTGTCGAGAGCGAGCCGCCGGCCATGATGCTATCAGATTTCGTGCCATTTCATACGATACCTTTAGATTAATGCTGTATTGTGATACTGGTGTAACGGTTATTGAAAAATGTATGAATATTTCTAAGCCTTATTATTTGGAAAAAGTTCACAAAAAATTTGTTGTATTTAAAATATTTCGTTAACAATTTGTATCATCTAATTGAACATGTTGTCAAAAGAGTCATAATATTCACTAAAACGTCCATTTTATTAAAACGATAATGGTTTTAATTAAATTGGTTTCATGTTATGTGCGGAACACTCGCGTCTGTCACTTTATCAAAGCCTTTGTGAAAGTATTTTTTTAAAACAGTGCCTTGTAATTTTGTATATTTTTTTTTATAAAATAAAGTTTAAAAACTTTTTTAATAAAACTGTACGTTGTTTGTTATTGGAATAAATTAATTCACATTTCGATGTTTGCGTTGTGTAAGGTTTTTATTCAACAAACATATCTTGATTATTCTCAGGTTATTTCAATGTATATTTGAATAATTTTATTTATTTATTAAAGATCTATATATGTATGGGTGAATTTAGTTCCGTGGACATGGAGAGTTGCAAAACAAGTACACAGTGAGATACATCAATTTATTGTCTTTGAAAAACTGGCATGTTAGTTTTAATTTGATAAGTAGGTATGTTAAACGAAAATGTCAAATTGCTAGCTTTTAAAACATAATACTAACCACCATTTTGCGATCAAAAAGGAAATAAAGTTGATTCTTTGAAATTATTCTAAGGTTATCTAAACTTTTTCATTTACAAACTTTCTTATCAATTTTCTTGTATAATTTAATTTGTTATTAGGTATAACTTAGGTCCTTCGCGATAAACTCATAGTGGCTGTTTCTTATAGGGTTAAGCAACGACTTTTAGATTTAATTTGTGGATAATAACAACCACACGTTCTTTGTAGATTATTTTACTATTTTTTACTTGTGAAGTTTAACAATGAGAATAGAATACTTCTACTTTATTAATAACCTCTGATTTATTTCCCGTCATACACATATTTTGAACTTAAAATATTGTTTCGAAATTTTTGGAATTGGTGTCACATGTTTATCCTGGTTTGTGAGAATAACCGTAGCTTACTAACATTAGAAAGAATGATTGGAAAGCAAAGAAAAAGTAATAAATTACAACAGTAAACAGATAAGGCAAGGTATCCAAACAACGTCTACGCGGTGCTACGAATCGTCTACGCAACTACTACAAAATTACTACGCAGCCACAAAAGTAACTACGAAAGGTCGTAGAAAACGTCTATTAAATAGTTATGACTTATCAAACCAGAGAATATGTGCAACAAACGCCTATAAAACATACAATATTACAAACTTAGATGGCACTTAGTAACAAACAGTTTATTAAACTATAGCAAATTGGGTACACCCATTTTACCACACATATAGGCCATTGTTAAACCCGACTTCCAAAAGATTAGAGGGCCATAAAACTCGTCAACCTGTCAGTTGATACTGCAAGTCATCATCATCAGTCTCATCGGTCGATAACCTTTTAAGATTTTTGCTATATTAATATAAGGCGTACATCGGTCGGGCCTGGTGCCAACATTTAAAGGTATCATTTGCATAATATCCCCAATACCATAGAGTAAAAAAATATGCATACAAGAGCAGTAATACGCATTAATTATGTTGGGAGAATTAAACACTCTATATAATTATACAGAGTGTTCAATTTCGCTACAGTGAATATAACCGTGCGAGCCTTAAATTCGGGTTTGAAAACTGTTCCAGGAAATCTACTTCATATATAGAATATCCAATTATTACTACTCTATTAACTATAGTCAAAATTTAATATTATAACAAAATAGTCTAAATATAAATAAATAGTTTTAGTCTATAAAAATTTTGCTGCTTGCGCTCACCGTTTTTACTCATCTCTGCATCACCCAAAGGTCAGACTGGTAGATAATGCCTACGGCATTAAGTCCGCCTATGTACAGAAATTTGTGTGCATAAAGCCCAATAAATAAATAAATAAATAAATAAATAAAAAATGAAATAACGCCTTACGCTTTGTTAATAGTCCCAATATGTGGTTTTGAGAAATAAGAAAACTCGAAACGTAGGCACCTGAGAACATAACATGTAGGTAGGTAATAGTAATTTCATTAATAATAAAGAGCCTTTTCTGGGTCTCAGATTTAAACTTGATCAACTTTATTATGGTATAGGTACTAGCAGACAAATTACCTGATTGATAAGAGCAATCAGCGCCTTCCATGAACACTCGTACCTAATACCTAAGCAGTCTTAACAAGTGCGTTGCCGACCTCTGGCGGGTTATAAGGGAACTAAGCTACTCCCTAATTATAAAGATATCGTACGGAGAATAGCAAAAAATAAATCTGCACTCCTCTTAACATTTTAATGAAGCGGCAATAATATATTATAATTTACAGCGCAAATATCCAACAAAACAAATACAATACTGTGTTGTAATTAATTAATGTAAAGTACGACTTAATGAGTAAGTAAAATAACCATTATCATTAGTGTTCTGAGTGGAAAATCATTATCGGATGCAATGCGGTCGCTGTAAATTAGTGTTGGGACGACCGCCATTGTGAATTTTCTCGTATTGTCGTATTGTGGAATATTCACTAACTCTTTCCGACTTTTGGTATTCCGTTGAAGTTTTATGAGCCAATTCGTTTCGAATTTTAAATGTGTATCGCTATGTTTTTGTGTTAATTTGAATAAAAAAAAAACTTTTAAATGTAACCTTTTTGACTTAAAAAATTGATCACAGAGAGGCAGGTGTTAACCTATGACGAATTAGTTTGTTAATATTGTGGTTGTGTTTGTAGATAAAAAACGTATTTTGTTATCGAACATTAAGTAAGTATGTGAAAGAAGGAGTTCAGACTCTTAATTTTTCTCCAGACCACATTACTATAGTACTTTAGTACAATACTGTCATACTGATACTGTCAATGTGTACATAAAATATTTGTTTAGTTTTATTTTTGCAGAAGAAATTGTTAGCCCGGCACTACGTGCAAATTGCAATTAATGAAACGTTTTTTTTTAATAATTGCCCTGCATAAGGATTTCCCTAGGTGCGGTTACATACATACAATTTCACATGCACATGACACCCAGACCCGGAACAACAATTTGTGGATCACACAAACAGTGCTTCCGTGCGGGAATCGAATCCGCGACACGTTGCACGGCAGCCAATTGCCTAGCCACCGCACCAACCGTGCTGTTAGAAACATTTACTATGAAGGGAAAAATATGAAATGTATTTGTATTTACATAATGTATTATTTCTAAATAATAGGTAGTATTTTTTGTTGAAGGAAAATATACCTACATACATATCAGCGATGTTAACCGTTACCATAACCGAAACTATCGGTTATCCGTAATAAAATATAAATATCTAAAATCATAACAGCATCCATTTCATAAGTCTTATGTTTCGATTTTTTTTTATGTAAATGATCGGCAAACGAGCAGACGGATTACCTGATGGTAAGCAATCAGCGCCGCCTTGGACACTCGCAACGGAGGAGTTACGAGTGCGTTTCCGACATTTTTGGGATTAGGGATTTGGAGATTTAGGGATTGGGGGAGGGGAAGTATTGGGCCTCCGGTAACCTCACTCACACGTCGAAACACAACGATGTGGTTGTTTCACGACGGTTTTCTGTGAGGCCGTGGTATCACTCCGGTCGATATGCTTTTGTTGAACCGCTCACAAGCCAAGATATGTCTGGCGCTTAGCAGCTCAGCAGCTTGTTGGGCTAAAAAGCCAGTTTGTTAGCCCAACGCCAAAAAAAGCTGGCTTTTTACCTGATGATAGATAAATAGATAGATAGATAACACATTTATTCAGCACAAACAATAAAGACACAAATTAATTGAAAAACAAGTGGATACACAATACAAATTAACAAGAAAATGACACAAAATAGAATCAAACAAAAAAAATAATAATATTTAAATATTACGTATTAGACGGGTAGTTAGTACAAAAGAAAGAACATAAAGAACGAGAAAAAAAATAATAAAATACGGCGCGGTTCAGTGTGTCTTTAGTCTGCACCGAATGGGAGTCCAGCTCAGCATGTGTCAATGGTATGCAATCAGCGCAGCCTACGGAAATCTGCAGCACTAAAAGAGTTTCAATTGAGTTGCTGGCATTATAAGGAACAGGGGTTTTTGGGATTCAACGATTGTGAAGGGATGGGGAGAGGGGAAAGCATGGGAGGGCTCAACAAGACTGAAACCAAGGCGTCACCGATAACCTGCATGGAGGAACGCTTGGGGTAAATTTCGCCGTGTTACTGTTTCGGAGGAACAATCCCATACCCAATCTTCCAGTCCTCATATGTCACTTGTAACTCTTCTGATGTGTGTCTATGGCTGGTGCCGATTGCATATTATTTGGCCTCCATATTCTATTACAAGCAAAAAAAAATTCAAGTCCTTTAATAAAAACTCATTTATATTTTATTCGACGTCAGATTCAATTCTGCGAACATGCAGCCAACGTGGCAGCGACAGAGCGTGGGCGACTGATCAGTAACGAGGAATTTAGTTATTACTGTAATTAGATATAAATTCACCTCAAAACATATTAATTCTGTATCTGATTGAAAGGGATCGACGGAAATACTTAATTAGCGGCGTTGTTACGTAATCCAGTTTATGCGTGACGAGACGACTGCGTGACGATCTATTCACGAGCTTTTATTTTACTTGATTAATGTCATTTGTTTTTATTTTTAATTGCTGTTTGGAAATATGTTGACGAGATAAAAATTTTCTGCGATGGGTAATTGGCTACCATTATTTGATGAAATTTTAAGACTTGAATTATACGTCTTGCTTGGATTTCACCGATTGTATGATAGTTATGCTCTTTGTAATTAAAATGACCAAAGGGTCGCTCTTTAATTATACACTTTTTTATTTGAAAACACATTATTATTAATGTACACAGTGCAGCACGTCGATTCTATAAAATTTGTTTGATTTTTAATCTTGTTCGAGTGTGAAGTGAGCGTCGAAGTGACGGGGAAATTATAATATAGAATGCCACTTTTAATGTCATCTCATACTTTATCCATCAAAATGTTGCGGTCAATTTAGTTCAACTCGCAAGTGTAGCGCTAGTGTACTACTACTCACAGCGGATTCAGATTCGAAGTGTACAATGAAGTCTTACAGAATCACACTGCACTTTCCTTAGATAGTTCTGTGAATTTAAAATAAAGTCGTCAAGTATAAAACACA